CAGGATGATCCTGTTCTTCACAGATTTGACGCATGGTACACAGCCAGCATTGGCTGGAGGTGAAGCATCGCATTCTTCGAACAGACTGGCCATGATTCATGCAAATCTCAGTCAACTTCGTGTCACTGTCAACGACCAGACGCTCTTTGACAACCCGCTCAAGTTCCAGTGGGATGTGAGTCGTAATACTGAAGGGCAATACTTCTACGATTACAACAAATCCTCCTACCTGCGTGGCTACAATCTGGTTCAAGACTTTTTCGGCAAGACGTATGGAACGCAAATCCCCATCACCGCTGCAGATTACTGCAATCACTACTTTATGGTGCCTATCAACTTGAATCTGGATCGGACCACAGACAATCCAAGATCGAGAGGAAATCTGTCCATCGACTATCAATTTAGCGACGTGACAAACGCCCCCGTGAGGAGACCTAGTGAAAATGGTGCCTCGATCAAAGTCAACCTTCTCTGCATGGACAAGTACTTGTACACCATGAGCAAAGATGAAGGTATCAAAGCCGAAGTTGTATGAATTAATTCCGACCTAGTAGTAAAAGGGCATCATGGAAGGTGGTGACCTGGAGACCAGACATCGTGTCTACGGTGGTGATTTGAAAACATCGAGTCGACAACACGGTGGATTCTTCTGGAAAAAGAGCTTCTGGAAAAACCTAATCGGTGCTGGACCGGATGAGATGGAAAAGCAGATGGCGGAACCCACGACAAAACAAGATGCAATGCAACGCGGTGGACTTGGACCCCTGGCTGCCATGGCAGGAATGACACTTCTTCCCATGCTTTTGGGGAGAGGAGAGTCCGGAGACATTGTGGAAACGCAAATGAAAACAGCTTACAACCCTGCCATGCACCGAGGAGGTCTAGCCATTCCACCAGGATTAGCCGCCAAGGCCATACCACTCCTGACGAACCTGGCTGCTCCCTTGGCCATGGGTACCATGGCATCACTGGGTGACAACGTAATGGATAAAATATTCGGCAGAGGAGTAAGGAAGGGAAGCTCAGCAGGTGCCATGAAGCGCACTAAAAGTCGTCGTCGTCGGCATGCACCGAAGAAGATTCGTCAACGAGCATCTCGAAAAACCAAGAAGCCAGCTCGTCAAGTTCGCTCCAAAGGCCGCAGGGCACGAGGAATAAAGAAACAAGGAAGGGCCTTGTTCAAAAAACTAGGACATCGTGCCCTCGACGAAGCTTCATCGTTCCTGTCTGCACCTCGTAGATCCCTAACCCGTCCTGAAACTCCATTTGCTCAAAAAATTCGACAGAACATTAACAGTGCAGGACCGTCTTCTATGAGTTCCGCTCACATCGGTCCATCCTACAACATCTGATCATGGACTTTATCTCGCTCCTTGGACAGGAAATCGGGAGGAAGAAAAAGACTAGTCCCGTAAGGAACGACGATGTTCCGACCACGGCCACTGCTCGACACGGGCTGCACATTCCTGGTCTTCAGTTCGAGTCTAAGGATTGGTTCACGGAAATCATTCCTGCTCTGAAATCCTGGGGTCAAAACGTATTGTTTCTGGGACAGAGCAACATGGGTAAATCCTACTTTCTCATCAAGCTCCTGAAACGTGTGCAACCTGAGCGTATAGTTGTCATCTCCAACACGCCGGCCGATCAGTATCGTCTCCCAAGCCTCAAATCCTTCAAGCATTACAGCACCATGCCCGAGTGTATCGAAGACATGGATCTCCAGCCTAACACCTATGTGATCATTGATGACATCAGAGTGATGGGTTTGAAGCACGGCAGCCAAAGAGAGTGTCTCTACAAGTTCTTCACCATGTACAGTCATCATCATAAGTTGAACGTGTTCTTTCTCTCTCAGAGCTTTGATAACATTAAGGACATGAAGATCAATGCAAACTTTATGTATCTATTTCGCTTCACTGATAAAAGCAATATCAAGCGTTATCTCAATACTCTGTTTGGTGGTCTGTGCACGAAGTCATCCATTATCTTTAGATTGTATGAGAAGTTATTGGCGGTGTGTCGCAGACCTATCCTAACCATTGATTGCTCTTCTAATCAGTACTACACGTATTGCGAAGACACTGCATTAAAGGTGACTTTTGAATAAAAACCTCGTTGATGTGCGTGTTTAGCCGAAAAGTTAGCCGAAAAGTTAGCCGAAAAGTTAGCCGAAAAGTTAGCCGAAAAGTTAGCCGAAAAGTTAGCCGAAAAGTTAGCCGAAAAGTTAGCCGAAAAGTTAGCCGAAAAGTTAGCCGAAACATTGAAAAAAAATTCCAATCATGAATAAGAATGGAGCATCTTACGGTGAAATTCTCAAATGGGCTACCGAGCAGTATACAGAGGGTGGGGTCCAGAAAGGGATCCTTCTCGATACCCAAGCGTAAAAGGTTGCAAACCTTGCAGTTTATGTCGAAACATCCTCAACACATCCTCAAGAAGAGAGTAAATTCGTGGGAAGTTCTCGGTATACCACCACTCATGCGGCAAAAAGGAGGTAATAACTACAATACCTACTTGAAAAGCGTCAAGAAAGTTCTTTCCCAAGTGCCAGATCACAGTTTGAGCACCTCCACCCTGTTGGAACTGCAAGCTGATCCGCGAGTAAAGCGTCTATATGACACCCACTTCAAAAACAATCCCGATCACATCAGTTACCCGTCTGTGAGAAATGTGATTGCATCCAACATACTCAACTATGATTCCACTACCGATCAAGTTCGCGATTCCGTTGCAGATGTCAGGAAGAAGAGAAAGGCACCTTTAACATCGGTGCCTTTCAATCTATTACAAGACCACGAATTTGACCGATGGATCCTACAAATCCTGGACAGTTTCCTCCGACATACAAATATACCGGCAACCTTTTTGAAGAGCAACTATTTCACAAGCCGATCACAACTGCTGCAACTCTACGATGAAGATCGACTGAGGTTCAGGAGTCGGGTGGAAGCGGCTGCGGATGCCCTGAAGACGCAGACGATGAACGACTACACTACTCTGGTCAACGAGACGAATCGCATCTACATGTCCAGGTACCCGTTTGCAACCATAGCGGGTGCGGTGGGAATCCACAAACATGTCGATGGATTCCTTCGATCAGAACGAAAGATTCATGAACTAGCCACCCTAGTGCTAGCTGTACCAGGATCGCAGCTCAAGTTTCAAGATCTCAACGATATGACTTCTACGTATGGTAGAACAACTGAAGCAAAATTGATCCATCCCGAGCATTTCATGATCAGAGCACAAAAGGTGATGGTGGACGATGCATCATTCATTCAAGAGGTTCTGAAGGATAAAAGCAGGATCACTCGTATCATCAAGGATATCCTGAGTGGACGTTCAATGTGATCACGTGCGCGAAAATTTTCAGGCTATGATCAAGAATGGACTACCCTCTCAGCAGTGCCGACATCAAAGGAAGATTGAATGGTGTTGGAGGGTTCGTGGGGTGTACAAGTTACGACCTCTTACCACCCTTGAACAATGGAGACTTTTGTATCGTCAACACCGACAACGTTCTACCGGTGTACGATGCACCGGAAGGTGGACATCATTGGTTGACCGTGTGTCGCGAGCAAAACGTGATCCTGGTTTTTGACAGTTTCGGACGCAGTCTATACACTATGGAGCAAGATTACACTGAACCTGCACTGTGCGATTTCTTTAAAGAAGCCTATGCAGACTGTAAGATCATCACCAACACCCAAGCCGTTCAAGACAGAAGCACAGCAGTATGTGGATGGTATGCCATATTGATGGGAAAGCTATTTTCCAAATATGGTCTGGATGAAGCACTTCGAACTTTCCGAAGAGTCTTCGATGAGGATGAAAAGCTGGAAAACGATCAACTGGTTCTCAGTTTAGGTGTCTTGCGAGGTGGTGGAGCCTTGTGGGATACGAAAGTGCAAAAAGCACTTCATGATGGAAGACAGAAGAAGAAGTCGCAGTCCACACCATTCCACACGCAACTGGCTAACGAATTGCACAAACCCAGACGAGTGCATTTCAAAAGACGCAAGGTGAAGAGCAGGTCTGTGGATCACATCTGGAGTGCCGATCTAGTGGATATGCAACGGTTTGCCCGAAGCAACAAGAACTACAAATTCCTGCTGACCGTCATCGATCTGTACAGTCGCTATGCCTGGGCAGTACCCCTGAAAACCAAAACTGGCTCTGCTGTCAGGGATGCATTCGACATGATCCTGAAAACATCGAACAGGGTACCACAAAAACTATGGGTAGACGAAGGCAAGGAGTTCTACAATGCAACAATGAAGCAATGGGTCAAGGATCACAACATCATCATGTACAGCACCCACAACGAAGGAAAAGCCGTGGTGGTGGAACGCTTCAATAGAACACTGAAAGGCAGAATGTGGCGCCATTTCACGGAGAAAGCTACGACACAGTATCTTGACGTCCTTCCTCAGCTTATGGTCAAGTACAACAGCTCGAAACATCGCAGTATCGGCATGAGTCCCACGAAAGCTTCTCTTGATGGAAAACCAAAAGATGCAGACGTACACTCGAAGCAATCACCAGCAAAATTCAAAGTGGGTGATGATGTGCGTTTGGCTGTAGCTAAACGTCATTTCGAGAAAGGGTACACGCCCAACTGGACAGAGGAAGTGTTCGTGGTAAACGATGTCCTACCCACTGTACCCCACACCTATCGTGTTCAAGACCTGATGGGAGAAGTCATTCAAGGACAGTTCTATGGAGCTGAGCTACAACATGCCAGACACACAGGATTGAGATTCGATAAGGTGTTGAAATACAACAAGAACAGTCGGCTCGTCAAATGGAGGGGTTATCAAGACGAAAAATTCCATACCTGGTTAACAAAGAAGGATGTGAATGATCTCAAAAAGTATTAGCATTTCATATGTACAATGTAGCTCATGCTTTGGATTAACGTGAATATTATGAATCGCATAGTATTTACAATGTATTTCATGAGAAGATATGACATATGCTCTAGTATGTGTGGAAATCCCTCAGTGCTTTGGAATATCCCTGTGTCCGAATGCCAGGGTGTTGATACCATCCTCCAGAATGTAACGCTTACTGTCGAATCCACTGAGGGCAATCTTGCGTAGCTCCTCTCCGTGAATGCAATGTCGTCGACTTCGAAGAACATTCATTGTTCTCTTCAGCTGAGACTCCTCGACGAGACATGTTCGATAATCATCGACGGTTATGGTGTTTTTCAACACGCTTCTCTGCACACCTTTGGCACGCTTGCCATTGTCGTCGTTGTCTTCACAGCGGTATGCGTATATCTTGCTCCGCAAACCAATGAACTCCTTGATGGGTTTGCCACCTAGTTCGTCCTTGAACTTCCCTACCACCTTCTTGTTGACCGTGCTGTACAGGTGGTGGGATGGTGAATAGTTGGATGTGTCATAGGCTGTTATGTTGTTTGACATATCGGTGTACAGATCATCGGTTTGAATATGTACGATCAGACTATCAGTATCAGTGTAGAGCAAACGTACATTTTGTCCATAGCGGGGTAGGAGAACTTCATAGTAAAAGGAATACATCAAGTGCTTCGACAGATCGAGGATGGCTGTACCCACATAAATGGGTTTATTGAGAGTCACCTTTGTCCTGGCAAACTCGATTGCTATCAGATCGTTCTCAAAGGCTACACTGCGGATGTACGAAGGTTTGTTGATGCTTTTCTGGAGACGTGGTTTTTCATCCTGTTCACGAATGAGCTTGATGTTTACTCTGTTTCGAACGTTTTCCATGGTCTTGCCATATACAGCATTGTTCATCAACTATGATAAACAGGCATACAAAGAAAAGACAAGAAAAACAACAATAAGAAAACTGTTATCTTCAGGTCATTCACACTTCCAGTACATACTAGATCCCACACTATCGCTAAATACACACACACACACACACACATGAAGTGGAGTACCCACCTTATAGAAGTCTTTCTCGAAATCAGAAGTTTATAGCTTTCTCAGGTCAGTATTAGTGTCGATGTATGGCTTCATCCATGGGTGTTGTGTGAAGGAGAGCACACGATGCACATCTGTAATCTCCACACCCAAGGACACATACTGCTGCAAGTTTCTGTAGTGCAGAACATAGTGCTCTTTCGGTAGTAGATTTGGCACCAGTTTCTTCGCTTCCAAACCGCTCACCTACAAGAGTACAGTATAGATATACACAAACCTTAGAAGATTAATACAAGCATATCCACCAGATAGACCATGACTTACCATTAGTTTCTCTGCCATGTGGGTCTGATATGGAGAAAGCATATCTCGTGTCACCTTCATCTGCTCAGGAGCCAACGGATAATCATTCATCATGTCATGCACACCATCTGGAATCCTTAAATCGCACTCCACCATGTATCCCGTCGAAGAGTCCATTGGATGATCGAGTACCGACTCCAGAAGATCATCCGTCACTGCTTCAAAGCAGAAGTCCGACACGGGCAAGGGTTGAGACATGGCCCATCCATATAGATTGTTCGCATCTAAATATTGGATGAAGCTTGACGGCTCGTCTGGATTGTATTCCGATAGATATCTGTTGTTGGCGGTGGCGTGTCTAGCGGACACCATGCTTATGCCACCTCTTTTGCCATGCTCAATGAAGTTGAACATGTCAATGTCGGAAATGAGATGAAGGGACACCTTCGTCATTTTCAGCAGCGAATCCCAGGCAAATCCCGGTAAGGTGAGGTAATTAGCGGGATCCAATCCATAGGTTGCGTGAGCAGTTCTTCTGAAGTTTTCGAAAACGTCAGCCAACAGCAGCACATCAGTCTCCAGGTAGAGGTCGTGATAGTCTCCTAGATCTTCACAGTCAAACGCAGTCCATACTGTTTGCGCATAGGCATAATCTTCATCACTGATACCCTAGGGAATAGAAAATGTACACCAAAAAGAAAAACAAATCAACGAACTTATTTTAGTAGTTCGCCCACAAAATCAATTATTTAGTATGAAGCTGCAGGAAGCGTTCAAACACATTTTGGCTTATTTTAGTACTTCGAAGTAAGATGGTGAAAAAAGAAAGAGAGAAAGATCTACTATATCTGTCACACTACTCACCGTGTTCGTTAGCGTTGAGTGGAATGCATCCTTGGGTGGTAGACGCGTTTCTTCGAATTGGTCGTACGACTCCATATATTCATACGGGTAGACACCCTTTCGTGTCAACAGTTTGCGTTCATCCTCGTCTGGAAATCGTGCGGATAGAAGGGCGAATGCATCTGGTGGTGTAGCCGAAACCAACCGGTCTAGGGAGGTGTTCAAGAATGCCAGGCTGTCGATGAACTGGAACTGTCTCCATCCGAATGTGACATATTTTTCACTGTTGATGGGAATCACGTTGATAGCACCGAGACGCTTGGTCTGAGAAGAAGAAAGAAAAAGAGGAGACACAGTTTTAAGGTGCAGCTGTAAAGATGAATATCAATCATATAAACGTGAATATGAGTACCAACATAGTAATGATCTTCCTTCTTAGAAAAACATCATGATCCACGCACACACACACGCACACACACACACACACACACACACACACACACCACGCATATGTAACGTACCCGTTCTTGTCCTTTCTCGTTCACATACGTAATCTCATCAATGGACGTTCTCCCAATGGCAGATATGATGTGATGAGAATCGGATCCCTTCAAGTTATGAAAGATCACAGGAATCTTGATCTTGAACGGCTCAATCCGCATGTTCAGGTTACAATGGTTGTGTGCTGCACCACGATAAGCACCGGTGATGTGACAGTGGTCACGTACACGATCGCTACCCAACGCTTCACCACAGATCCAACAGGAGACTACCGTTTCAAATTCACGTTGCTGACTTTCTGAAATGATCATTTGACCAGCATTACATGCTAGAAGCTCATCACGGATAGTCTCCTCCTCTTGCTCAAGTGACAGCAGAAAACAGAACATAGAATCTTCTCCACGGTAGAAGAAACGGTTCGTGACGACGCCATCAGATCGTACTACAATGTACGAACAGGAACAGGCTACATGCTTGTTCTTTTGGAATGTCGAATGACCGATTTTATTGTCAGCGGACAGAGGTTCTATGAAAGCCTCACAATCGGCATAGATCACCTGCATTTGAGAGAGAGAGAGAGAGAGCGAGAGAGAGAAGTAGGAATAGCAGCAGGGACAACACCGAGTAAAACAGCAGAAAGGACAGATAGAGAATTAGGAATAGCTGCAGAGACAACACCGAGTAAAACAGCAGAAAGGTGAACACTCAGAGTCAAGAAACATGTGCAGTAAAGAAAGAAAAAAAAAAAAAAACAGACCACAGTGTGTTCTACTTACAAATGGGGCTTGAAGCTGCTTGTTCACATTCCTGAACATCACTCTATCGCCAGCCTTTGGCATCTCCACCGTAGCTTCAGGATGTTCACTGCAGTACATCATATGATTATTCAATGCCTTCTCCGTGACGTGTGTTGAGAGACATCTGAAGCAGACGAAATGTGCTCGACGTGCTCCAGTAGCAACAAGACGACTGAATGACTTTATCCACACCCAGTGCTGCACCTCCACGTCATTGCGTTCGTCTTGGATGAGCAATACATTGATGGCGGACTGCGGTTGCTGAGAAATTCTTAACGGATATATGACTTTCTCTTCATATCCGAAGACGTTGATGTAAAGACCGTCGTTCAGTCTTTCGATGACTGGTATGTCTTCCAGTTTTGCTGGAAACTCGATGCCGCTCACATCCACAGTATCCGCATGTTCTGCGTACGACGATTGACGACATGGACGAGACTTGTCTGCCGAAAATTTAGCAGCCAGTATTGACCATCTAAAGTACGGATGACATAAGACATGGACAGGCGGCATACAGTTCAATCCATACACCATAACACAACACTGAAACCCCACTGCTATACTTACAGTAAACACTTGTTGTCAGTGTTCTGCACGTTAACAATGGCCTTCTTCGACTTCAACTCCGGTGGCAAGGGGATGTACGAACTTCCTCCAAGTACACAATAGCGTGACATTTCGATGTGTAAACAGGAAATCCGTTCAACTACCCAACCTGATCCATGACGAACGAAATCATCAAGACGAGCGTTGATCTGAGCAATCATTGTACTGAGAAGGTCCCTCAGCTCCATGGTGTTGAGCACCAGCGTTGTACTCGATCGGAAGAAGAATGTGTTGGAAACCATTTGTCCTGTAGCAGGATTCAGCTTCTGCATCACCACCTGAACTACCAAAGAACACTTGTACTGACCCCATTGCTCAATATTCTCTTCAAGAAGCAGCTCCAGCGACGGTAGAACATGAGAGAAAAACTTTAGTACATCTGCAAACTCTTGATCAGGACAATAACTAAAGAATTGCAACAGATCAGATGATCTCACTACATCAAAAGACTGACGAGGTTTCTTCCGAAGGGGTTCCATCCTGAGCAGGGGTGGTGGCGGACAACCACACAATGGCTTGACAAGGTACCGAGGACCTATTTTTATAGGGTTTTCGTAATAGTTGAATTCGGAATAACTGGTTGTTTTTCAATTAACCAATCCACTCATCTCCCGCTGGAAACAATTAACCACTTACCGCACTTCCCGCTGAAAACATGTGACCAATTAGCGCACTTCCCGCTGAAATCACGTTCATCCTTTTATCGCGCATTGACCCATGTTCCACACTTCACAGTGAAATCAGTGCTGCAATGATGTACTGTGACGTCAATGCATGGATGCCTGATCTGTGCATCTGAGGTCAAGATGAATCCGGTATTCCAGCAGCTAAAAGTTCGAGAAAGAATTGTTGTATGTCGAAAAGAATTATACGAGAGGAAAGCTAGAAAAATTCTACACCTCATGGACCTTTCGATTACGGACATAGATGGAAAACTAATTGACTTATGTCAATGGAAAGATTCCAAACCCGAACAAAAAAAGACACGGCATGTCGCGAGCAACGTTTTGGTTTTTGGCGCGCACCGTGTTCACCGTGTTCTCCAAGGTCGTCACCTTCCCGGAGGCGGGACCCGGCGGGACGGGACTTGGCGGGACCTATAAAACCTGATATAATTTCATTTTTGGTTCACAATTCATTTTTGAGTCCATTGGATGATCGAGTACCGTCTCCAGAATTTCTCTCTCTATCAGATCAAAGATGTCGGCCTGGTCAACCTCCGAACCATATGTAGAGAAGTTCTATTTATTTTCTTGTAGTAATAAAGATGAATTAACCGTTCGGTTACTCACCGATCTGGGCACAGCCTACGAGCTAAGACCCATGCTTCTTCACCCGGATCGGGTGGACTTGACTCCCATGGAGATTGCGGAGTATGTGTGCAGGGTGTCGACGCGCGTTCTCGTCCGGAAAATGATCCGAAAAATTGAAATTACAAGTCAAAATACTGCAAAACTATGAGTTCTGATTAATATAAAATTGGAAAAAGTGAGATAACATTGACATTTGAAATAGTAATATTTTAGACATCGGAATGCAATATTATGATGTAGGGTAGGACATATTACCCACACCCTAAAAATCAAAATTAATGATACATGTAGAATTCCAAATCATGACACCATATTACCTTATTGTTTAGGGTAGAGCATAACACCCCAATACATATTTTCAATAATACCCCCTTTTTTTTGAGGTAGGGGCACCCCCTGGCACATATTTTTATCCGCAAAAAAACCGGGCCAAAAATAATTTTCACCGCAAAAATGGGGTACTATTAGTACCCCATTTTTCAATAATACCCCATTTTTTGGGACCCGGGCGCCCCCTGTCCCAGAACCCGCTCGTTACTTCCTACTGCTGTGCCTCCCTGCAGCCTCCACGACAGCCAGGCCTGGCTGTCGTGGAGGCTAGGGTGTCCCGTTGAGCCTTGCCCCGTGATTGTGCGGACTATGCTATGCTTCTCTTGCTGTCTGATCACATGCGACGTCATCATTATGTGATTTGTTCTCTCCGCCATGGCAAATTGTGTTTTGTTCGCCCGTAAAAGAGGCTTTTACAAAAAAAACAAAAAAACAAAAAAACAGCAGAGGTCGCTAACGGCAGATTTGACTGGGGCGTTGGATATTGCGAGTCGAGAATGGATAAAGTAAAGTGGCCTCAGTTGTACGTTCGATTTGTGGATGACTCATTTACCTATTTCGAATCAAGACGTGACAGTGAAGCCTTTCTAACTGAATTGAATGATGTCCATCCTGCGCTGCGCTTCACGTGTGAACACGAAGAATCCAGAAAATTGTCGTTTTTGGATGTCTTAGTCGAAAGGACGTGTGATGGTGTTGTCACATCGGTTTATCGTAAGCCTACGTTTACAGGACAATATATAATGTATGACTCATATTGCTCGGCCCAGTACAAGATCCGGAACTTGGTGGATAGGGCAAGACGCGATCTGCTAAAACCACCCTTCGGTGCTGTGTAATTTTTCGGAGAAAATGATGAAAACGTCAGCACGTCTCGATTTTCTCATCATCGCAGGTGACAGTCCTGGCGGAAGGAGGACGAAGGCGCTCGTTCGCACAAATATTGTTGTCGGATTCTCGGCAGCGGAGTCGTCAGCACTGCCAAATGACGATAGATCGTTCTTCGGGTGGTCAGATCAAGATTCTGACGACCAGAGCGATGACGAATCGACCGACGCCTCTCCGCTCGTGACCCTGCCGATCGCGCTTGCGATCGATGCGGAGGAGAATTTGGACGAGTCGCCAGCGCTACAGCCAGCACAAGCCCTCGCCGCCCGAGGACAGGGCCAACCTAAGAAATCCCGTGGCCAGGCGGCGCCCAGTACTGTTGAAGAGGTACAGGCGCGAGTGGACAAGTGCTGCAGTTGTGCCGATGTCAACTGTTTCAAGAACGTGTCACTGGATACTCTACTCACTGCACGCAACACAGCGCTCGCAATGACGAACGAGGAGCTGTACTGTTAGTAGTAGTGTTACGTCGCTGGAAAGCTCGATGTGTTTAGACGACGCGGTGCAGTTACTTCTCACCATGGAAGCATCGCACAATGGATGCAGCGCGGAGAAAGGTCCGGTCCACTAAGACTTATCGCTATGAAGTGGATGGTGACGAGGTGTGCCAGACTGTTATCATGTACGCACATAATCATTATGTAAAGGAGTGGAAGCTAAAACAAAATTTTAAAGGAGTATGAGTATGAGCGACCAACGCATATGGCCGATTGGTTTGCAGGCCTGCCTGCGAATCATGAGGTCCCGAGTTCGAGACCCGCGCTGGCAGCAGGGAGCGTGTAAAAAGACTTTTTACGCGTGTTGAACTGCGCCGAAACCCACGGTCAACTGGGTACTCACAGCTCGAGTGAGGATAACAAGGATGCAGTTTACAGGGTTATGGGCCGTTACACGCCCGATTGGTTGAGAGACTCACCTCCTCTCCCCTGACTCACTTGTGAGGTCTGCATTCGCCACTAAGGTGTAAAGGCATAGTGGTGGCCTGCGGAAGCGAAGGCTATAGCTTGTGTGTTTCTGAACATTCAAGTGATGCTAACGCGGATCCCGCGAATATTATTATATTATGAGTATGAGCATGCTGTCGCTCCCCCCTCAGCACGCACGTGCGGGTACTTTGCCCTGGAATGCGCTGCCTGCAACGATGGTGACATCAATGGACTTCCCTGGGGCCCAGGGGCCAGGGCCAGAGGCCCGCTCCAACTTACCTGCCATGTGCTACTAGTACTACCACCTGTCTACCAAGAAGCATGCGCATACTGAATATATCAAGGCTGGAGGAACAGCAGCATACACAACGTTCCTGAAAATATGGAGCAGCGAGTGCAGTGATGTGATAATTATGAGGCCAAAAGAAGATGTGTGCGGTGTATGTTCCGATCTGCAGTCTCAGATCGTAAGGGCAAGAACGGCAGAAACTCGCTTTTAAAAGCACACTGACGCACTCAAAGCTCATATTGATGAAGCTAACGTGGCCCGTGACCTTTATCAAAAGTGTATTACTGCCTGGCATCTGATCATCTGCCAGTGACGCTCGAGACGGCTGGAATCTCACCGAGCGTGCAAAGTACTTGCACCAACAGATTCGTCAGCACTGCCACGCAGAGAGCAGAGATATCACCGGCCCAGCACCAGACCAAGCAGACGGCCAATGTCCTAATTATATGTTCGGAACATACATAGTAGAATACTGGATAACTGTGCAAAATAGTTTTTCTCTGTACATAGACAGGTGTATGACAGGTGTATGAAGCCTCAGATACGAATTATACTGTGAATATCAATTATTTTCGGCATTTTTATGCACCAAAAGCTTTCATAAGATGGGTCATATTTCAATGAATATAATTTATTATACAATTTGAGCCTAATACTTCACCATATGTTTGGGCAATGGCCAGGGACCAACTTCCCGCCAAAAACTCATTTTCGGCAAAATAGCACCAAAGGGTGGTTTTAGCAGATCCTTGGCCAATATAATTATAATGTATGACTCATATTGCTCGGCCCAGTACAAGATCAATTTAGTCCGGAACTTGGTGGATAGGGCAAGACGCATTTGCGCTGACAGTAAATTACAACCTGAACTCGATTTCCTGGGCTCAGTTTTCCTGAAAAATGGATATCCATCATCACTCTTAGCAAAACTGCTCACGAGCAAAGAGCCGCGGAAGGAACACAAAATCGGGCCAACACCGTGTCGGGTGTTCTTATGCCTGCCTTGGAAAGGCTCTGAATCAACAAAAGTCAGTCGTGCAGTGAAATCGATCGTGCAAAAGACATACTATGCAGTGAATGTAGTTACTGTCTTTACAACGGTGCGTTCGTTCACAGTGTTGAAGGACGTCCTGCCAACCCACCATTTGAGCCATCTCATTTATCAATTTGAATGCCGACAATGTGGTAGTCGGTATGTTGGCAGGACGCTTCAACACTTGTCCGAACGCATCAAGCAGCACGTCCCATTATCATTGTAGTCCCAGGCTGCCAGATTAAGCAGGCCCAAGCGTGGGAGGCCACGGAAACATCCGCTGCCTATTTCTACACCTAGCACGGCTCACAATTCGGAAACAGAAACACCGACTACTTCCATGGAGAACGAGCAGACTAATCTGGTTCCCCCCTCGGAAACCGGACCACGGCAAGGGAGGCCGCCGGACGGTCGCTCCTCGACAAACCATGTTGCTACAACGGTAAGAGCGGAAGGGGAACAACTTGAAAACAGAGCAGAACCGAGGAGAAGCAAGAGACTGGCAGAGGCACGACTGAGACAAGTGGAGAACACAAGGCAAGGAGACGCAGGAGGAAGCACAGGCACGGCACAGAACGAATCAAGGAGAGGGAAGCGGTGTCGCGAGGAGATGGAGACTGATGACGACGAATACGAGTGCGATGGGATGGACGGCGGCATTGGAATGGAGGTGGAGGATGAGAGTAGTGATGAGGAGGAGTTTGATGTTGACAAGAGGAAGTCTGCAGTGTACAAGCATTTGGTGTCCAGTCCAGAATGTCGTAAGGTGTTTGACGATTCCTGGTTTAGTGTTATTCGTTGCGCACGTTTCTTCAAGCAATTGCAGGTGTTGGAAGCTGTGTATATTCGTACTCGTGACCCTGTGCTATGTAAACAGAAAGAAAACGTTGTATCACTCACACTCTTCAAGTAATACACACGCACCATTACATTCATTCACACAGTATCACATTCATCTGCCACTACCTTTCTCACATACACTATATTCACACATTGCAAAGGTGCAAACTTCGCTTTTTGTACTTGTTAGCTGCTGTATTTCTACCTGAAACCATATTAGCTACATGTATAATTATAAGTGTGTGTTTTAGTTATTACATTTTTATGTGACGGCGTTCCACTGATGACAGTCACAAGAAAACGTTATGGAACTTGACTTTCTTCATTTTTGCTGTTGTTATGAGTGCACAATTCATCTTATTTATTGTAATTTGTAGTACTTATCAACCATAAGTACAGCTGCAGTGGTGTCTTCAACTAACTCATTCTCACTAGTAGATCTACTAGTAGTAGTAGTACAGTAGGTCCAACCCAGGGCCACTTGCAGTTATCAATAAGCTATGTACTAATGACGTGTGTGTAGTATGTATGACCGATGCCGTGAATGATAACCGGATCCTGCACGGACGCTAGCCTACAAGGCTACATGATGTAGGCTGCAGTAGGCACGGTTTCACGTGGGACGGTCCGTCCGCGATCCGATGAAAGCGCAACGAAGAACCATGCTGCACTGCAGCACAGTACTCCTCGAAATGCCAAAGGCAGGAACACGGCTCGCTGGCCCAGTAAGTCAAAGAGAGCTAGTCGTAGAGAGGCTTTGGTGTGTTGGTCCGACTTTCTTGAGTTGTGGCATTCTTTCCTGTTGTTTGTTGCTCTTCTGCTTAGCTGTTATAAGGGTCGTGTCCCTTCATGGAACTACTTCCGCTACTCCCGTCATTTTCTCAACCTGAACAGCGCAAGCTAGTGTGTCACGGGTTTTTCTGGTCACGGTCGCACGTCTTATGGAGCTGAACATGTTCTTGGTGTTTCCGGTGATTTGGGCACTCTTTGTCAGTTTGGCTCCGCACTACACGGCACGAGGAGGAGTCACGGAAGGTGAGCGACACTTCTGTTCAATTATTTGGGCCGCTCCGCTTACAGGTTTGCACGGAGATGAGGTGAAGCGCTTTTACCCGTCTTCATAGCGTTTTCGATCCATTTTTGAGTGTCCACACGAACACCCGCTGACAACGCGGATGTGCGACAAACTTTTACTAACACTCGTCCACGCGTGTTGCGAACACAAGAAAACTAAAGCTACACTTTTGAAGTAGTAAGATTATGGCTACTGTGTAGCGACCACGGTGGGCGGAGGGTGGTTGCTCCACAGCAGCTCCGAGTCCAGGCGGTGAAGTGCGGCTGGTGAGGCTCAAGTTTAATGTCAAATCCCTCCGATAGGCTATGCCTTTGGGAAATCCTTTAAATAATAAATATCAAAATATCAAGTTAACAGCTGGCGATTGACAGGCAGCCAGAATGTGGTGCACGCAGGAACGGACTGCGGCGAAAACCAGTGATGGCTGGCAGGCTGACGGATGGAGAAAACAGAAGCAGCATGACGACGGATGGCGGCGGAAGAGGAGAGCAAAGTCCGCAGCAGCTCCAGGTGTGCCGAGGGCGGGTGGGCGGCGAGAGGCACCACAAATCCCAAATCCGGAAAAGTCAAATCTACAAATACTCCGCAAGCGCAGCGTCGGGGGTCACCAATTTGGGCACCCAAGGTGGCAGAGGTCTTATCTGCCGGTTCACATGGGGACAGATGAATCCAGGGACACACCACCCTGGGGGCTAATAATTTACAACTCCGAGGAGAGGGTAACTTTGTCTAATAGTTGTTTATTTTAGAACAAAGAGGAAGACATGTTTCATGCGCATGCGTATGACTACAGTACTGTCGGGCGCCGAAGAACGGCCAGGCTAGAATTTCATCAAGCACAGCATACCAATGTATACACGAGGACTCAACTGTGCATCGACTACTGTAGTACATGAAAATAAGAACGGTCTAGGCGAGGAGGAGGCTGACACCCCAGTTCTAGGCGAGGAGGCTGACACCCCAGGTCTAGGCTAGGAGGCTGACCCCCAGTTCTAGGCGAGGAGGAGGCTGACACCCCAGTTCTTCGGCGACCGACAGTACTGTAGTGAGCGAGCTGACGTCATGCAGCGAGGTCACTACAACTGTATGCAAATGTATGTGCAGCACGCCATGTACAGAGCTAGAGACTAGCACTTGCCACGCAGTCCACCAGACACTGTTGCTATGGCAAGCACCGCCCAGATGTTGACAGCTCAGTCCACCAGGCAACCTCCCTGTAGTGTAGGGAGTTGACAGTAAGAGTCAAATTCGCGAGTTTTGCATAAAACCCTCTAGAAGTCCGAATGGGGCTGGTGTGGTTTCCGTCCAGCACTGCACTATCTGGTGCGTACATGCACATGCGAACTGAAGTGCATAGCGATACAGAATGTGCACACGCATGTCGTGTCGCGAATGCGATCGGATTTATTCGTAGTCACGAGCACAATGCATGTATATAACCAAGAATTCACAGCTAGTATACATGTATCCTTGTTCAGTGCATGATTTGTACGTTCAATCACTCGCATCCCTTTGTGACACCCCTTTTTCACCTTGCACTCGTTTGTATATCTAAGGTTCAATTCTGGGTACCCTTTTTCTCACCTTGCACTTCGTTGCATTTCTAATGTTTCCGTTCCGGGCACCCTTTGAACCCATGCACTTTGGCTTGCACATGCACTGACAACCAACACGGACTGTGTGTACGACTATCGGCATCTTTGAATCGTTTGATGGCCTTCACTATCCATTTTCATGCTCACAGTTGGACTCGTTGCACCGTGCGTATCTTTATGTGTCACCTTTTCAGCTACATGCACGTGGAGCTGTTTTAGTTCCACAACTTGGTGCTCTTCTTGCTTCTCTTTGATTCTTTGCTACTCCTTGTGAGCTTATTTCGATGCGTTTGTATATAATTTATCGCTTGTATATTTCTGCTGACACTGTACGCAAGACACTTTCACGGCACACTACTGCTACAGGCATGCACTCCGACTCCCCTATATTATCGCTCTCCCCTTGTAAATATTCTTCAGTCTTGATTCACAAGAAAATTGGGCACTAAGGAAAATATGGTCTGCTTCGAGTGGTTTATGTAAAGGGCATGTCCATGGTTCGCGACATGTCGTGCGCGCGTACTTGACCAACTCACACGTTCTCACACACGTTCTCATCGTCACCGCTTCTACTGTGTTCACAGTTCACTCGTTTGTTTTCGCCCACCATCGGGAAATCGCTGTGGGCTGTTTTCTGTGATCGTTTCCCCTTCTACCGGGATGAAGCGCGAACCTAAATGTTTTAGAATCCTCTTGTTTTAGACTTATTCGAGGCCGCTGAACACAAACATTGGGTGTTCCTCCCGGGGCCAAGTATGCATCTGGTCAAAATTAGTAGTTCGCAATGCCTTTGCACAAGGCGCAGCTCCCTTTTTTTTAGGGGTCAAAGGGGTGTACCGGGTACCCGGGTACCCGACCGTTAATCTCAGGTGCCGTTAGTAAAAGGGTAGCCGTTTGGATTTTGATGAACCAGTCAGTACGGAGCAACACTGCTGGGATCGTGTATTCCAGGTGGCAGTCAATTATTTACAACTCCACGTTGGATGTCTGCATTGTTGTTGCTTTTTCGCACCTAGTAGATCTACTCCTGCGACTATCAGACACCAATCGATTTGCGAATCACAATGTGATGTCAAAATGCAACCCGAGAACAGATGAATTAAAATCTTGATTTATGTGAAAATTGCGCAAAAAATAAACATGGCTGCTAAAGGGTACCCGTTAACCCGCCCGTTGAGAAAATTACCCGTTCGTTAGTTAAAGGTACACCCGTTTGACCCCTACTTTTTTTCAAGCATGGCATGTGAGGCATTAATGGAGAGGTAATGACCTCGGCTACCTAAAAATAGCATCGACAAGGGAGAGGTGGCCACGGGATCAGATAGAAGCGGGCTCGAAGTGAGCCGAAACAGGTGCCACACGAGTCGTGACTGCAGTTTTCACCTCTTATGGGCCAGAACCGTAGGCTGAACTACCTACTTGTAATCCCAGACAGATGTTTGCTCCTTTTTTATTTATTTTTATTGCAACATCTCAAGGCACAATGGGGAACACCGGCCAATTTGGAGGGAGTGGGAGAGTGTTAGCTAGCCACGATATACTCCTTTGACGTCGATATTTAGTAGCAATTTTTTGCTGAACCTGGCACTGGAACTAGTGACTATATATTTTACTTCAGTAAAGCGTCGGGCGCTAGCCAGGGTCCACACAGCTTTAATTCCATGTTTGTGTGTTTGTGCCGTCGGCATGCCTGGCGCTATCCCGTACCTGACCCGTACCGTACCGTCAAAGACAGCTGGCCACAATATTCAAATAGGGCTTTCAAATGCAAGATCATAATGTGAAGCAACGTGGAAGAATGAGTATGTATGCGAAGTGTATCGGGGGAATGCATGCAGGGCGATAGTGCGGGTTCGAATCCCAGGTTATGTCTTAAAAAAAAAGGAGAAATGAAAAATTTATAACGTCCGTATGCTTTTTTGCCTAGGTCATCAAGGTGGTAGACGGTGTACTTTTCCATCAGTTCTAATAACATCGTCGTGCATGATGAGCTAGGCAAAAAGCATAGCATAGGGCCCTGAGCTTCCAAGCTCTCGTTTTTTAGCGAAACACACCCAAAAATGCCTGCACATCATTTTGTATTGCCTTCGTTACGGCTGGTGAAACAGTTTGCAGGTAGCTACATGTACAAACAGCAATGTCCCTGCTTCCCATAGCAGCACACACGCATCAGGACAGCTTGTATGCATGCTCATCTCAGTGTATACCTTATATGCTCTCGTGTATGCTCTAACAGGTAGACCACTGTGTTGCTTCATCTGCTGCTGTTGAGAGTGAAAATGCCAATGGGTTCACACAGTACCAGGGTGTACTCCATGTGCAGTGCACTGCATGTATGTGTATGTGTATGTGTGCATAACTATTCACGCTGAACCGTTTCCAAGCCATCCCTCTTCAAGTTCAAGCTGGCTGCGGCCCTGAGTTTCACTGCATCATGCCCGCATCTCTGTGCCCGTAACCTTACAGGCTGTGCTGCATGCTGCTTGTTTGTCTCAGTAACCTTACAGGCTGTGCTGCATGCTGCTTGTTTGTCTTAATTTTAATTTGTTTGTTGTATGTTTACTGTTTAGCCACCTCTGGCCGGTTTTGCTCTGGCGGATACGTCACTGGCTACGATGTTCTTCAGTTCACCAGCTGTGAGGTCATCGTTGGTAGCCTGGGGATCGAGGAGGTTGATTTCACTGATGTGTGCGCGAATAATCCAGCGCTATGTTGTGGACGAGGAGGCCTCTTCCCCTACCTCACGGACATCACCGGGTACCTGAGAATATCGAACTGCATCTTTCCACCTTGTTGGCAGCGGTTCGGTGAGCTTGTTCCCAAACTAGCTGTTGTACATGGCCTGGATCGCAGTGAGTACTACATGAGTCGCAGTACGCCAGCAGAACCTGATCTCGAACCACAGTATGTTTCGGCAGCACGTGGTGCAACTGTCTTAATAGAAGGTATGGTGTAACGACTAAGAAGTCAATCATCCAACATGTACATGCGCGTACTTGTGGCAAGTCAAACCCGACCTCAAGAATGCAACAGAGCTATGACCACTGCACCGTGAAGCACTGCACAATCACTGCACAATCACTGCACAATCACTGCACAATCACTGCACAAGTTACAGCAGGACAGTGAGCGGACAAGGTAGAAATGGAATGTTAGCTTCAGTCTGGCGAAACATTTTTTGCATAAATGTCACCTACAACTATCTGTTTTTCAGATCCCAAAGTTTCAGGCTGATACTATGGTGGGAAATGCCTTACATTCACCATTTTCTAGATGCCGGTCTGAATGGGTTAAAGTCTGTTCCGGGGTGATTTAAACAGTCCACCCTTCAGTACAGCCAAAACACTGAAAAAAACCCTATTATCTTGCCCTGTATTTCTCCACAAGTGTATATCAGTGTGAAAGATGAGCTGATAGCACACATAAGACTGGTTTGAGGTGGAACCAAGCAACGAAACCACTAAACTAGAAACAGCCGAAGCCGAAAAATCAGCTCTAGAGTAACTCGTGATGCAAGGCATAATAATAGGACTGTTGAAGCTGGTACGCAATCCACACATCAAATAACATTACACACATGTCAAAAATAGAAGAATTTGGAGGACAAATGGTAATGCCAGTGCGTTCTTGCTTCAGCCATGTGTGCACGCTCTTATCGTTTACTGTTGGCGAGCCCGGACTCTGTTCGGATGCATTGAGGGTCCTGACGATTGAGCGGCGCTCCTTGGTACTATAGTTTGTAACATTCTTGGCAGGAGACAGACAGCTCTTGAACACAGCAACGAAATAATATTCCGGAGACTCACCACCAATACGGTGCCCATTGGTGAAGCAGGACGAGTCCACAGACTTAAGAAACTGTACTTAACGTAACGTTACACACAAGTCCTCGATCCGAGGCCCGATTTGACTTCTTTCCACTCAGCCCATGTTCACCAGCCTTGACCATTCTGTGTATCTCAATTTTTAAAACACTCCTTTCCAGACAGTGCATGATGCAGGTCTGCCACTTGCATCCAATGCATTGGGCAGCAGCTAGTTGTTCTGGTCTATTAAGTCCCTGTATACGTTCCCCTGTAGTGCACGGCCCTATTGTTTCTTCAGCTCCTGCCCCGTGTGCTTCAGAGCTCTGAATTCAGGTCGGCGTATACATTCAGTACAACTCAGCATCCACAGGAAGAGCGCTATCGTTCCCCTTCATTGGTGTTATCATCATCACTGCCGTCACCATATTCGCCTGCATCCGAAAAATCCATCTCATTTGTTCCCTATGTCTTTTTGTACCACACTCGAGCTTTACCAGCAGCAAGCAAAACGCCGATTGGCACGGCGTTTTCGGCGGCGTGGAAGACGCTCTCGACTGCTACCTGACTCTGAAACGCTCTCAGAATCAGAGAAGCTCTCAGCACCTGACAGCAGGCTATCAGCTGATCGCCGTCACCTCCAAATTCGCCCGTCAATACGCCACCCGTCGCAAAACTAGCTGCCATATCTTCCTTCAGCCATAACGTATTCACTTCAAATTTTGAGTGCTGAACGAGGCACAAAGCTCTTGATGCAAATAGAGCCCTCTAACCCAGGTAAAACATATACCACCGTTTGCCAAACTTCAAACGCGTGTATCTCAAAATGATGTCATGCAGCTAACGTTCCATTTCTACCTTGTCCGCTCACCTGCTGCTAATGATGTAGGCCCGCTGGTGCTATGCCATGGGGTCAGATTTTAGTCCTAGCCATTTTGCCTGCTGTACGAAGGTTCCTGTTTAGACATGCGCGTGCACAACTTACATGTACATGTACATGTACACTCAATTCAGATACAATGCTCCTGCTGGCTTTGTGACCCAGTTTGGCTGCATTTCGCCTCAACCCCCCCCCCCCCACTTTAAAAGTTTTTGTGTTGGACTTGCTTCTCCATACACTTTGCCATAGTATATGTGATGGTGAAGGTAAAGATGAATGTAGCACCTAACCCATTCAGGCATTCTAGCCATAAGGGGAAGGAGGTCAGGGTTAGAGACCTCTTGTTTCAAAGAGCTCGACGTAGCAAGGCAAGGGCCCATCTCCTCCTCCACATTGCATGTTTGCCTTACCTGTCCTAATTTTCATAACCCGCCATTGCGTTCTTTGTTTCCACAGGAACTAACCTTGTTAGCGTGAGTGCTCCACATGTGTGCATTCCGACTGCGCTGGCCAAAGGCGGTGAGTCCAGCGATGACGGTGACACCAGCAATGAAGATGGAGCCACAACTGCCGCATCTGTTGTTCTCCGCCAGAATAGCCTGATGTGTTTTCGTACCTTGGGATCTGCGGACATTAATGAAAACGGCAGTAAGTCAATTTGGACTGGTGTTAAAAAATACTCGTAGCAAGCCACTGTTCTCTCTTCTAGAGCGTGAAGCAATTGGCGATGTTTTGCTGAAGGTTTTGCTATGCGACATGTTGCATGCATGATGCAGAATCGTCCAATATGGTGCGGTGGTTTGTACATACCCCCCCCCCCCCCCCCTCCACACACACCCACACCCCATGACCACCACCACCACCACGCACAACTACACTCGGCACTCGTCAAATTCTGGTCATTGTAAATGGCATGTTACAGAGTCTTATAGAAATACACCTGTTGCACTACCATGGAACAATCATGAAATGCAAAAATGCGTACTTTTCCTGCAGAATTGCATGGTTTCACCCATGCCACATGGTGTCGTGGTTGCAGGCAAGGGGTATGCATATTTTTAAGACAGTGCAATAAATAGAACAAATGATGCTGACATAATACTATTAGCTCCCGGCTAAACACAGCCCCCTCACACTCGTAGAACACAGGGTTGTGTAGAATTGAATAATTATATGGAAGAAGTATTAGACAAGAGAGTAGGCAGGAGTGAGAAGACTAGAGAATGAATAGAGAACCACTGGAGCATGCGCTCTTCTGTACTTGATGGGATCTCATTGCTATGGTGAAGGAGCGGGAAATACGAATAGCGAGTACAGAGTCTTATTATAAATACACCTGTTACACTACCATGTAAAAATCATGAAATGCAAAATGTATAACATTGTGATTCATAAACTTTTTCCTTTCGATGGTCATCAGCGAACCTACATCGAATGCTGATTTTATGTGAATAAACACTATTGGTGGCGTCCGTTGATCCTGTTGTGCAGAAGGTTGGAGTTGCTGTGCGACAGTGCCGCCTGTGTTGGACCCGGCGCCCTGGTTGGTGGACTTAGTCACCTTGGGTCGGAGCCTTCGCTGGTGCCTCCACCGGGCACAGCACCTGAGCGGTGTGAAGAGACACGCAGGTGCCATTCAATGACGCTCAGGCCACGGCGTGACAAGGTAATGGTCGGACAGGGAGAGGTGGTGCTGTAGGATGAATTGGACGTTGAGGTGCGGAAGCGGAGTGGCGTGATGGAGATCGACACAAGTGATGATGATGGGGGCGGCAATGATGAGGATGTCGAAGGTGAGGGTGCTGAAGTCGGTGTGGTTGGTTTCTGCGATGGTGACGGTGGAGATGAGAGAAGTGGTGGAAAGAAGAAACAGAAGTCGGCGGTGTGTACACATTTGAAGGCTAGTGAGGAATGTCGTCAGATGTATCGTGATCATAGCCAGCAATCGCATGTCACCACGTACATTGAAAATCAACATAATTTTGCGAATCGACCTTTTTTTCATGATCACTTTTCAACGAGGACGAAGCAAAGTCGGCCGAACGAAGCCTAGAGGAAGAAAATCACCCTCTCCACTTCACCATCACGATACTGACATAGATACGAGATGAAACAACTAAAAAATCCACAAGAAAACTGTACGGCCATCAGACTTTGGTCTGACTTTGGTCTGAGAATTTCTATCACGATCAAAAATGTACGAGGAGCACTCAAAAATAAGCCAAGACGTACCTTTATCGCTCTCTACTCCTTTTTCAAGGCACAAAAGTCGACTTTCCACTTTCAAACCAGGAACCAGACATACCAGTGGTCCTTTTCAGCTGCTCCACGAGCGCAGGAAATGTTCACCAAGGGGCGCAGAGCAGCATCCATTCCAGAAAAAGAGCTAAAATACGAGTGAGACTGCATGCCTGAGTACATGAGTACATGTATGAGTACATGCAGAAAATAGTCAATTTCAGCGTTTCTGCTCCAAACAGCAACTACTGTAAATATACAAATTTTCGGCAGGTATTTAATTTCGGCTATATTCGGCACCGACCCAAAACGCCTAAATTAAAACGCCGATGAAAATTGTCACAGCATCTGTCGCACTATACCATGCCCTCTACCATGTCTACCCCACGCCGAAAATAAATCGCCGCCGAAATGTCAAAAATCGTGAAATGCCGAAATTTTGCCGCGCCGAAATTTTGTATATTTACAGTAGCTTCGACTGGAAACAAAGATTACACCAAAGGATCAAACAACAACCATTTTCTGCAGTTTTTTTGCAGATGGCTTCCTTGTGCTTGGCCCAGCACGCCAAAAATCACACCTCGGAGGAGTACAAAAATTACAACTCTCAGATGTCCTCGATTGCTGGCCATGTGGCAGTTTCAGCGTATTGTGCCGTGCTAGCCGTTTGCCAGAGTTAAAGGTGCTGGAAGCTGTATACATTCACTTGCTCAAGCCTGACTTATGCATTCCGAAGGAATTTGTCACATCTCTCACACTTTACTCTTAGATTCTTTTCACTCTCAACTTTCTTTCACACTGCTTTCACACCATTGCGACAATGTAATCACTTTTTCACCCTTGTACCCTTGCTGCTACTGTAGTTTTTGTAACCTCCGATCCGATGACTTTGTAGCCGCGAGCACGTATACCGTAATATTGTTTATTCACATAAAATCACCATTTTATGTAGGTTCACTGATGACCATCGAAAGAAAACGTTTATGAATCACATTTTGTACATTTTGCATTTCATGATTGTTACATGGTATTATGTTGGCATCATTTTGTTCTATTTATCGCATTGCTAAAACTCCTTTCTCCGAAACGCCTCTTTGTATTAGAGACAGGTAATTTTTTTAATGTGGGAAGAGCTGTTTCGTAGATCACACCAGGCCCGTGTGTCAAAATCTTATCGATTTGATTATAGAATGTAGAATACCTTTCCAACCATGCACACACTCACACTACTACAACACAAACCACCATCGTTCATTCATCAACTACACTTCAGTCAAGAAGAAGAATAACCCCTACCAAGGAGATACAAACAACGGAGAAAAGAACTGAGACGCACAATCAGTACGCTCCGAAAACGGCGGTGCTCGGAAGCAAGCGAGGCAAAATAAATCGCGACTCAGCGCACCCAGACCCATTCGGGCCTGGGCTGCGTAGCGATCGCGTGGTCAGGTGCACTGTGGTGCCATGGAAACAAAGATGGTGGCGCATGTAGCACGTGTACGACGAGGTAGAAAGAAAGGAAAATAAATAAACTGCAGAACGAAAGTGAACGCGAAGAAGAAATATATTTGAGAAATATATTTGAGAGTCTTTAGAGAAACAAGAATGTAGTTCGCGTCTCGCGGAGGGTGCTTGCACCTAGCTAGAGGTGAGAGCACCACTGTCAGATAATGGAAAGACTGAGTTAGAAAAGGAGAAAGACGACGGAGTTGCAGACTGAAACTACAGGAAGTTCAAGTAAGACGTGAACACTAAATATATATGTATTTCAAATATCCGTGAATGGCAGTTCTCGACACCGTGCCCATTTATGCATGTCATCGAGGCAATGCAGTAACTCCGGCCACCTGATTTTGATCAGGACCCTGGCATAATATGATGCCTGCAGTTCTCTCACAACAGTTGTTCAGATTCCTAAAAACGGTTTCGTCGAAGACGGAACCCCTGCAGTCATGGTAATATGAACGCCAGACCGCATGGCACTGTATGGACTGATGAAGTACGGATGTGTATGAGTGTGAGTGTGCATGCGTGTGCATGCGTGTGTGTGCGTGTGTGTGTGTGTGTGTGTGTGTGTGTGTGTGTGCGTGTGTGTGTGTGTGTGTGTGTGTGTGTGTGTGCGCGCGTGTCCATGTGTGCATGCGTGCGTGTGTGCGTGTGTGATCAGGTTTTACATTGCAGGTAGACTGCCTCGGTGGCAATGGCAATTTTGCAGACCGCTCGGCCTTCGCCCCTGTGGCTCAGAGCACAGCTAGGTACAGGGTAAGTCTGATACGGTGCATGTTCTAGTTTTATACGTCTTTGTATTGTAGAATAGTTAGCGGCAGTCACCTCATTTATGAGGGTGGTATTTGATGCTTGTGTGCTTACAGTTCACGCCACAGTTGATGCTACGGAATCAGAGTGGCTGCCCGAATATCTCTGTGTTTGACGATTCAAGCAGTGGACCAGTGAGCAGCGCTTCAATTAGCGTACCAATCTCCGCAACTGGACGGGATTGCCTCTATGATTGTGAAGCCGACTTCAACTCTACCTGGATAGAAATACCTGAAGTGCCATGCCGTCGATGTAAGTATAATGTAGAGTTGTTGTTGTTCTAAATGACCCAGCAAGGTGACCCAGCGATAGAATCATTTAGAATCATTTTATGTCACTATAAATAGACAAAATACAGGTGATTGATGAGGGGTCTCTTAGGCTCGGCTCTTCTTAACTCCCGATTCGGTCTCCCTTCAGCTGAGTAACCCTCATTGTCATTCTGCGCGCGTGTGTGTGTGTGTGTGTGTGTGTGTGTGTGTGTGTGTGTGTGTGTGTGTGCGTGCATATGTGCGTGTGTGTGTGTGTTTCTGTTACATTGCTTGCTTTTTATTGCGTCACCTCGGCCTAGGAGGCAGCTTCCGCGGAGCGGTGCGGCCGAAGGGCCTACTTTAAGGGGGGTGGGGGGTCCTTCCCCAGAAAACCTTTGGAATTTAGACGGCAAATACTGCACTCTGGGCGCATTTCGTAGCATGGACCTTGTGTACGAGTTCGAGTACTAGTACAGACAGAGCACACGCTACTGCCTGCTGCAGTGCAGTGTGCACTCAAAAAAGAAAAGAAAAAGTGTGCACTGCACTGACACTGCACTGACAGCTACAGGGTATTGGTAGTCCGTTTTGTACGACTCCCTGTACAAAATCATTATCCATATAAAAACCGCTCTGTGAGCGGTTCTGAAAAACCTTTACTGGTACTGCCCCGTCGTAAAAGTAAGAAATTAGAACTGGCCCATTGTCCCCCCAAATGCGAACTGATCCACCTAAATCGCGAATGACGGGACCCGAACGCACCAGTAGCACGAGGTCGGGAGGGCACAGGACAGCAATTATCGTAGGGTAACACCACCTACCGCTAGTACAGTACATGGCCTATAGTCCGGACCAACGTCCCCATCTGCATCCACAGGTAGGAACCTCGTGCTACTGGTGCGTTTGGGTCCCGTCATTCGCGATTTAGGTGGATCAGTTCGCATTTGGGGGGACAATGGGCCAGTTCTAATTTCTTACTTTTACGACGGGGCAGTACCAGTAAAGGTTTTTCAGAACCGCTCACAGGGCGGTTTTTATATGGATAATTTCAGTTCTTTTTCCGTTCCCTCCCCACCCCAACCCCGAAGGTAAACATGATGACCACGCGCGCGATGTACTGTATGTAGCCATGAGACTGCAATAACACACTGATACATACCAGCCCTCCCCGCCTCGCTACCCCGCACACAGATACACAAACATGCGTGTGCACACGGCACACACACGTGGCCACGCACATGCACACGACACAAACAGGAAATTCTTCATATATAATGCCATGCAAAGCAGTGGCCACCGTACTTGAGGAAGTCAGTTGTGAAACAAAAATAATTCAACTACAGCGTGTAGACAAGCTGACGGCCAAAGCACAACATAGCAAACATGACATTTGCCCAAGGATTGCATTTTGCAGACCACGCCATGGAAGCAGGGAATACAGAATGTAATGTCATACAAAGTGACAAGCAAGGAAGTGGCCATCATACACCAGAAACTTGCAGAAAGTCACACATCCAACAGATAGAGAAGTGAACAGCAATCTGATACAGCCCACACAGGACAAAGCTGACCTGATACTCGTCCCAGGATCGCAAGTGGCAAATCCTTTTCAATGCATAACATGCAGGTGTACGTTAGACGCATGGACAACATCTGACCGTGTCGCCAGCATACAATGTCATCACATGTTTACCCCACAAGTTACACACATGCACAGTAGAAGCACAATGAAAGCAATGGAAAAGTACGATGTGGTTGCTGAAGCATCTTCACACTTCAAATTCAGACTTCAATGTGGTCGTCACGGGATGATATACCTGCAAGATACAAGTGATGAAGAAAGAAAGCAGAAGGTCGTGAGGTAGGCTATGAGTAGCCCTTTCCCAAAGATGCCATAGTTTTTCGCAACTTATGCTTTTCGCAACCGTGCCAAAACAAGTGCTAGTTGCTGAAATCGCATCCATATTTTCAGAAAAAGCTCAAAAGTTGCCAATATCGCAACTCAAAATTGGAGAGTTCTTGTGCAAAACCTACAAAACAGGGAGCAGAAATAGCAGAAATGCAGCGATGCTGCGACAGCAAACTCGTACACCCCTTCCTGCTGTGAACCACCACTTTATACATTGCCAGTAGCCTGTTGCATGTATCCTACATGTACATGTACATCATTACAGTGCACGGAAAAGGGAATGCACATAATTATCATAACTACCGTTGATCTACTGTTTCTCAGAAATGAGCCTGAAGGCAGGCGAGAAATGAGCGAGCACGAGTATGTATTTGTCCAACAATGCAACATGTAGTCGGTGACTTGCCCTTTTGACCCCATGCGATGGGCCAATTGCGCCAAGGTTGCGGAGAAGTTGCGAAATAGTGCCGGAAAATGAAGAAAGTTGCGAAAGTTGCGATTTCTTCCTAAACAACGAAAAGTTCCGAAAAAAGTGGCCAGCATCTTTGGGAAAGGGCTAGCTATGAGACACCACAAACGGGTCACCTACATGTATGTTCAGGGCTAGTGCACTCACACGCAGAATTGTCATAATCGAGCATTTCCCAAACTGAGAAGTGCAATGAAATCCACTTGCATGCGCAGGAGCAATTTTGCAATATTATGATGCGCAATTCGACACGATCTGCGATGCTGCGTGCGATGTGCCCTGCTGTCATGATGGTGACAGTCACCGCTGTATGTTTTGTCAACGTCGCCCGTGCACTCTTCTGTCAAGTCCAAAGTGCTCACATACTTGGCAATGTCTTTGCAGTGATTAACTTTTATCCTAGTTATGTCACGGGTAACTTTAATGAAGTACCCGCAGGCCGTGTCGATCCGCACATCGTCCACTCTCTCATGTACTTGGCCTGCTTTGTCTGTGTATCCATTTCATGTGCGATCCACAAAATCGACTAGACAGTGGGTGCAATACGCTCTCTATCTGAAGACGTTCTTCTGGCGACATCTCGCCATGTACTTGGCCTGCTTTGTCTGTGTATCCATTTTCATGTGCGATCAACAAAATCTCTATGCACTACAGAGACTAGACAGTGGGTGCAATACGCTCTCTATCTGAAGACGTGAACCATTAATTTTTTTGGAAAAGTTATACGTAAACCTGAAACGTAATGAAGTACAGGAATAGAGAGAGTGACTACAATACGCTCTCGACCTGATATAGTGATAACGTGTTAGAAGGTAACAGGTCTACAGTCCCACCGTACCCTTCCGACACGACTGTAGACCATTAATTTTTTTTGAGAAATTATACGTACACCTTAAACGTAATGAAGTACATGTACAGGAATAGAGAGCGTGACTACAATACGCTCTCGACCTGATAACGTGCGTGCAAGACACTCTCCACCTGATAACGTGTTAGTAGAAGGTAACTGGCAACATCAATGGGTTGCCTTACCGTGGTCGAGGAGACGTCTTCGCAGCAATATTTTCCCTCCTGCGCATTCAGTCGCCGACGCGACAGCGTTTACTGGGCCGTTCCAGTTGCGGAAGACATTCGATTCATCGGGCCAATTCAGCAACAGGGCCGTGGACACACAGGGGGCAGAGGAGAGACATTGTTAGTGGACAAGAAATATGCAGTGGCAAGTGGCGAGTGACGCATGGATGTCAAGTTGTCATGCACAATTCAGCTATTACTTACGGTCCAGCTAGTCCTGCCATTGCTCGCTCGTCCTGGTTCCTCCTCGTTCGTCTTCCTGCACGTCTGCACTTCTCCTTCCCCACCGTTGGCTTTGCGGTACGGGGGTGCCGGAAGGAATTCCCACCATGTATCCATGTACATGAAGTCCCACCATGTCTCCATGTACATGTCCACGGCCACGTCAGCAGTTTGTATAGTACCGGAAGGAGTTCCCACGATGTCTCCAAAGGCCTAGAGCGGACGTCTTTGCAGCAATTCTTTTCGCCCTGCGCATTCAGTCCGCCGACGATGTCTCCAAAGGCCTAGAGGGGACGTCTTTGCAGCAATTCTTTTCACCCTGCACATTCACTCCGCCGACACGACAGCGTTTACGGGGCCGTTCCAGATGCAAAAGGTCCACGTCAGCAGTTCTCAACTATTTCGCGTACGGGATAGTCGCCGCGACAGCGTTTAAGGGGTCGTTCCAGGTGCAAAAGGCATCCATCAATGGCACTTTGCAGTACGGGGTACGGAAAGGGGCCTCCTCGTTCGACTTCGTCGACTTCTGCAGTTCTCCTTCCCGTCAGGGGTACCGGAAGGGGCCTCCTCGCAGTTGTCCTTGCCGTCAGGTCCACGTCATGCAGTTCTCAACTATTTCGCGTACGGGATAGTCGTCTTTGTCGTACGCGACATCGGCGTTTGCCGAGTGTCATTGGCACAAAGCAGACCGTTGACGGGGTCACGTGTCAAAAAAGTATCAACAACGTGTCGACTACGTGTCGACCACGTGTATAGCGGTACACTCAGCGGTACACTAATTCTCGTGCCATTCTCGTGTCACAAAATTGGAACATCGAGTACCAGTATGGAAAGGCTTCAGACAGGAAGCCTTTCCTATACATCGAAACTTTTCTCTCCGGTTTTGGACGTTCCACGTGGACCGACTTTTTGGGAAGTTGGTAAGGCCATGGCCGTACCGGCCGTACCAGTGGCGCCTTGTGTGACTGTGCACGCACGTGAGAGAGTTAAAATATGTATGTGTCCACATGTCCGTACGCGGATGTGTGCACATGTCCATATGCGGATGTGTGCGCATGTCCATATGCGGATGTGTGCACATGTCCATATGCGGATATGTGCACATGTCCATATGCGAATGTGTGCACATGTCCATATGCGGATGTGTGCACATGTCCATATGCGGATGTGTGCACATGTCCATATCCGGATGTGTGCACATGGGCATGCATGTGCGGATGTGTGCACATGGGCATGCATGTGCAGATATGTGCACACATGTGTGAATGGTGCACTAGGAACAAGTGCAGTCACAGAAATGGGAATTTAAACCATTGCACCTGCAAACCATAGCGACAGGATCGATTGTCATGTCCTGTCTCGGCACAGAGTAGTCTGCACTGGCAGTAGGTGGAGATGGAGGTGGTAATGCATGCTTGTGCTGATGCGCTATACTTGGGGACACTTTGCCCGCATGCAGACAAAATGTAACAGTGCTTGTGATCGGTGTTCTGCGGTTGACCCACCTACTCTTGATCATGTGGTGTTGTTGGACATGTATGAACACAGCTTGTCCCAGCACAGTGGTTGCTGGCATTGGCGATGTTTGCTCACTCAATGGATGTACACAAATTGACGGTCCTTTGATTATCAGCATACTATATGTGCCGCCAAGTAAGTGATCAACCCTTTGTGTGTATGTGTGCATGTGTGGTTGGGTGGGTGGGTGTGTTGTGTGCGTGTGTGCATGTGTGCGTGCATGTGTGGTACGCGTGTGTGCGTGCGTGCATGTGTGGTATGTGTTTCATTGTCAATCTTTGGATGTGTGTGTGTGTTTGTGTGTGTGTGTGTGTGTGCATGTGTATGTGTGTGTGTGTGTTCTTTCATTCTCCTGGGTGGTTACCAACAGCCAGTGCATGCCGGAGTATGCGGTGTGGTGTGTGTGTGTGTCGAAAAAGAAAAAAGAATGAAAAAAAAGAAAAATAAGGATTCACTGGCCAGAAAAAGCCACTTCAATCAGCTGTGTGGTGGATACCAGGCTAAAATTAGTGGCGGTCAATTCATCAGCCTTGCAAGCTGTTGAATGGTGTAATCCCAGCACTAGTTGCTATGTCTAACATAGCTGTTCGCTATCATTGCTTCTGCGATGGGCAGGTCTGAGGTGTGTGTGTGTGTGTGTGTGTGTGTATGTTTGTGTGTGTGTGTGTGTGTGTGTGTGTGTGTGTGTGTGTGTGCATGTGTGTGTGTGGTGTTTTTTTTACTAAAAGCTATGTGGTGCACGCAATGGGAACATGTAGCAGCCATGGTGGTGGGGGCCAGGCGCTCCGTCGACCAACTGGTCTCGACATCGTCACGCTCTGGACGCACCAGATAACATTTTTAATGGAAGTATGAGAGAAAAAGAAAGAACAGGGGGAGCGGGTGGGGGGGGGGGGGGGTGTAGATTCAGAAAGAGAAAGAGAGGGTACATGTACATGAGAGCCTGTAGTTCAGCAAGTTCATGTAGCCGGTTTACAAGGCGTCGGTTGCTTGCATCCAGTTGCTGGACAACAGGTGATGGTGGACCATCTTCTTGAACTGCAGTATCCCGTCCTTGTATGGCTGCTGTGTGAGGATTTTCTGAGGCAGGGAGTTCCATGCGCTCAGCACGCAAGCAGGGAAAGCCTTGGCCATGGTTGAGCGGGAACGGCGAGGCAGGCTACATGCCAAGGGAAAGTCGTGTGACTGGCGTCGCTGGGCGGAGAGACGGGTGTTGGGGGTTTCATCCGCCTGCTGGAGTGGTTTGGGCATAATCGCTTTCGAGGGGCTCGTCAGTGGAAGGAAGCAGAGCTTGTACAGGAAGCTCAGGGCCGCCACCCTGCGCCTATGCTCCAGGCTTGGTACGGAGACTCCAGGGCCTATCAGCTTTAGTGCCCTGCGTTGTACTGCGTCCAGGCGGGCCAGTGGAGCCCCCATCCAGACCAGGCAGCAGTACTCCATGGTTGGCCGTATGAAGCCGTTGTAAACAGCAATACGGCCAGGTGCTGTCAGAAGTGGCGCCACCTCCCGGAGAAAGTGGAGGCGTTGGAGGGCCCTGGTGGCAACCTGGCGCATGTGGGCCGAGAATCGCAGCGTGGTGTCGAACAAAACCCCGAGGAGCTTGATCTCGCCAGCTTCAGGCACCCTGGTACCGTTGAACGTGTGTGTGTGTGTGTGTGTGTGTGCGTGCGTGCGTGCGTGCGTGCTTGCATGTGTGTGTGTGTGTGCGTGCGTGCGTGTGTGTGTGTGTGTGTGTGTGTGTGTGTGTGTGTGTGTGTGTGTGTGTGTGTGTGTGTGTGTGTGTGTGTGTACAAATGTACTGTTCGCTATCATCGCTTCAGCGATGGGTATGTCTGAGGTCTGAGGTCTGAGGTATGTGTGTGTGTGTTTGTGTGCGTGCGTGCATGTGTGCGTGCGTGTGTGCGTGTGTGCCAGCTAGTTCAGTTGGTGGGTACACTTATGCCTGATTGTGTTGGGTCTGTTGCCAACGGGCTCGGCTACTTGAAGGTGTAATGTTGCACCTGCCACCTTTGTTGGTTCCAGGGTTCATATACTTTCTGTTTGAAGTATACGTACCTGTTAACCATGGACTGCTTCTGGCTAGATTAACTCTTGTGTAATCAATGGTGCTAGTGAAGCTTATATCAGATCCACTCTGATTTAGCCACCCACACTAGTAGCAAGTATTACCTTCACTGGGGCAGGGGTAACTGCAGTTGGATCCCAGGACGGATACCCTGATGCCGTCAATCCTTTTTCTGCACCTTGTCCTCACCCACTCACTGAGGTGTGGTGAGCCCATAAGTGGGATCATTTTCAAGTCCGCCCAGAGTTTTGGGGATTTCAGGGGGTGTCGGCCGTTGGGCAGTTCAATAGCCAATGGCACGTATTCATCTAAAATGGCGGACGCCCACGCTGCATACTTGGTATGGGTGCACGTGAGCCACGCTGTGGGGACACTTGTTCGATTCCGCATACAAATGTATACAAATGCGTGGAAAAGAAGTTTCTCTAATCGCTGAAACTTGTGAGTTTCTTTCGATATAGACTGCTGGTCTTCAAGGTATACAATAGTAGTGACCCAACGAAGTGGAATTTGCGGAATACAACGTTCGAGACGGCTCAACAAGTCAAGAGTAAAGTGCGAATTTACTATGTACGCAAATGAGAAAACCTACTTGTTTCCCCGCAGCGCTAGTCACGTGCGCCTTCAGTGAATACGTGCCATTGAGTCATCTTTCCAAGATTCCTTTTGAGTCTCTCTCCCCTCTCCCGGGGAGACCCAGGTGACCAGTTTAGGCAGTGAGCAACAAGTACAAGTGTGTGTGTGTGTGTGTGTGTGTGTGTGTGTGTGTGTGTGTGTGTGTGTGTGTGTGTGTGTTTGTATCTACTATGTGCCTGTGTGTGTGTGTGTCTGTGTGTACATGCGTGCTTGCATGCTTGCAGGGTCTCACTTGCTTTATCTGATTCCCCCTCCTCCCTCCTCCCTCCTCCCTCCTCCCTCCTCCCTCCTCCCTCCTCCCTCCTCCCTCCTCCCTCCTCCCTCCTCCCTCCTCCCTCCTCCCTCCTCCGCCCTCCCTCGTCCGTCCTCACGGTCCTCCCTTCTCCCCCTTCCCTCCCCCCCCTGCTGGGAGGCCAGGACGGCATACATTAGTGGTACAATGTAGTGCAAGTGCTGGTGCTGCCATCACTGTGATATTGGTTTTCCTTGGTTTTCATGTACTTTACCATGATCTGCTCAGCTCCTGACACTATGGTCAGTGCGCTTTGTACTGAAGTGCCAGCATTCAACTTCACAGCCAATTGGGAATTTGCAATGAGGGATGTTCAGGTCATCAATGGTAGCCTTCAGATCAGTCATACAGCATGCCTTCACTCGTTGAACTTTCTCAGGAATGTCAGAATCATTAAGGGAGACATCATCATTAATCATAACGGGTGAGTTGTTCGTGAATAACTGGTTTTTGCTCACTTGAAAAATGCGAATAATGTGCCTAAGATGTGTTGTGTGCACTTGTCTGTATCTGAATGGTGCACTACCAGTGCTTATTATACTGGTAATCCAGGGGCGTCACACACGGTACGACAAGTACGACCATGGTTGTACCACTTTTCGTCCAGAGGATGGTCCGCCCAATTCAACCGAAAAAGCAATAAAAGAGCCCTGTTGGCCAAAATGTCCGAATTTTTTCACCGGGGGACACTCCCGCACCCCGGGTTATACCACTCCCCGCTACCCTATGATGCCCCATGTAGCCCCTAGCTATGGGCCTGCCTCAAATGCTTGCCTGTTGGCCGAAAAATCCGATTATTTCACTGGGGGACACCGCCACACCCCGGGTCGTATCACTCCCCGCTGCCCTATGATGCCCCATGCAGCCCCTAGCTATGGGCCTGCCTCAAATGCTTGGTATTACTTTTGAATGTTTTAGACTGGTGTAACTGGCTTCTAACCCTAAATAAAATGCACTTCAACGCAGTTTAATAGACGTTGGCCCCTTACATTGGTCTCGCGGTGTGATTGCTGCATCTATCACCTACAGGATTCTTCGTGAATTTGGCGGCTTTGCGCCACAAGTAGTGGATGGAACGATAACCATCGCAGGCAACCCTCGGCTTTGCCGCAGTGCCATCAGCAGCTGGAGTGCCCGTATACAGCGTCCTGTGTCTATGAGCAGGAACGGACTAGCGGGAGCATGTAAGTCAGCTTGGCCAATGCTCTAAGCCAGAATTCGTGGCTCTACAGATAGATAGATCAGATCCACCAACCAGAGGCCGAAGGCCGAAATCCCATTCGCCGCATCATGCCGCATCAGATGAGTAAAGCAACTCATAGCATGAGTGCCTTGTGTGACTATCAGTTATCTCGTGTTGCAGTACAACACCGAGGCCCCTGAATGAAGGGGATTCCCTTGCGTTCAACAAGTTCATCTCCAGCGCAGCATGGTTCATAAATGGCTTTGAGCCTATCTACTGGCACCTTCATTTCGCTTGTCACCTGCATGCCATCAAAGAAGTAGTTTAGTCACCTGCATGCCATCACAGAAGTAGTTTAGTCACCTGCATGCCATCAAAGAAGTAGTTTAGTCACCTGCATGCCATCACAGAAGTAGTTTGAGTCACCTGCATGCCATCAAAGAAGTAGTTTTGTCACCTGCATGCCATCAAAGAAGTAGTTTAGTCACCTGCATGCCATCAAAGAAGTAGTTTAGTCACCTGCATGCCATCAAAGAAGTAGTTTAGTCACCTGCCGCCTGATGCCATCAAAGAAGTAGTTGCTTCAAGTTTAGTACAGTATATCTGTGGCGAGCGAACAGCACCCACTGGTCAAGAGCACTATGATATTATGATATTGGCATTAAAGTCGAGGCTGTTAGTGTTATGCTTTAGCTACGGAGTAGTTATTTTCACGAGAGGAATCTGTCACAAACATGTACGCTATTGTGTGTGAGCAATTTTACATCCATTTTTCATAGGAGTTTGATTGTACGGATAGTCGTGCACCTGGACGTTGGGAAACCTCTGTCTGTCAAACATGGCCTATTTATAAAATGACTGTTGTTTTCGAACAGGCGGCGACATCTCAATAAAACCTTCGCCCTTCGCGACATGACTCTTCAGCTGATTCTGGGTACTGCCATCCTAAAACTGTTGTATTCTTGTTTGCTTTCTTATTGAATCAGGTATCACCTGTCTATCGTACAATCTGAACTTTCGAAAGGACCCAATCGAGATCATCATTGAAGAAAATGATTGCACGGCTAGCTTGTCTAATGAATACCCGGACATTGACATTTCAAACCTGCGCCACGTCGGCTACAGGTCTGCGTCAAGGCAGGTAGACTTGGACCCTAACAAATGTAGTGGGTAAGGAAGGGTGTGCTTGTCGACCTACCACTATACTGATTGTATTTAAAATGTGTTCATTTACTTTGCTGCCATACAGCAACTTGTTGAGGAGGATCCCATATTGCTGGGGTATAAGCTGCATTTATATTCTCAAGTATCAGTCACAGGTGGTAGGTCCTGGGTTGCTTGCGTGTCACATTCTTGGTGAGTTGTTATTTCCACTTTGTTGGTCTGGCACGTCATGGCCGGGTTGAATGCTTCACCCCTGGCAGTTTGACAACTGTGACATCAAGGCCACTGATAGTGGCGGCAATGTACAGTCATAGACCCGCCTCCATTGCTATGGCGGCCAGGTTTCTTTCTGCTTTCTGGTTTTCTGAACATGGAACGAACACCACCATATGTACATTAACCCCCGCCCCCCCCCCCCCCCCCCCCCCGCACGTCACAACTTGTTAGCTTGGTGTAGTGTCACATGATCCTGGTGTAGTGTCACATGATCTTGGTGTAGTGTCACATGATCTTGGTGTAGTGTCGCATGATCTTGGTGCAGTGCCACATGATCTTGGTGCAGTGTCACATGATCTTGGTGTAGTGTCACATGATCTTGGTGTAGTGTCACATGATCTTGGTGTAGTTCACATGATCTTGGTGTACTGTCACATGATGGCATGCATGCTGTTTACCGTGCCAACGCGGTACGTGTACATGCCAAGTTCAGCAGCCGGCACCCCCATAGATAGCTTGCGTAGACCTCGGTCCTACCGGTAGGACCATCATACACAGACATGCTGCACGGCCTCTGTTCTAACACTGACCTAAAACCTGGCCCTAAACTGTTGCTAAGGGGCTAATGAAGGAGAACCCTAATTTTAGCAGTGATCATACAAAGCATATTGCAAAATACCATGGAAACAGCCCATTGTAACCATGGAAACAGAGTATGGAATTTTGCCCTTACTGCCATGGCACGCTAAGAAAGACAATAGGTTCTCACCATGATCTATGTGCCCTGGTCAAAATTCCATTTGGACATAGCTACTAGCGCTGCGACAGGAGCATGTGCAGCCATTTAGACAATAGATTTAAAAAAATGCACATATGCAATGCACTGGACATAGTCTTGCATTTTGCGCCATTACTTTGCCTTACAAAGACCTCATCTCAACAATTTTTGGAGAAAACTCTCAACCGGAAGCACTTTCATGGAGTGATTTCTTGGGTCCTACCTGTTGGACAGCATGCAAGCTATCAAATTTAAAACTTGAAAACACTGTTCGTGCACTGGACATAGCCTTTCAAGTTTGCAACAATCAACCAATAATTATAGTTTTGTGAGAAGGCAGCCTCATGTGCACTCATCTTGCATTGCACCATTCAATGTTGGCTGACCCTTCTCATAGTTCTTAGTGCTGGTCTAGATGATCATGAAGCATCGTAAGAAGCAGAGCCAGGTCCTGTCACCTATTTAACTTTGAGTTCAGAAAAATCAAAAAAACTGAGAACAAGCTTTTCCGCAAGGGTGTACTTTTCATTACATTATAATACAACATCTTTCATATGCGGAGGCTCAACTGAAGCCATTTAATCATGTCTCAATCTCCTTCACTACCATGGTCTTTTTTAACTGCAAAGGTAAATATATATCTCCACGTTTTTGCCCTTGAGGCTTCATCAGGGAGTATATGAATGTGAAGCTAGGTCAGCTGCCGAAATATGTAAGAAGGACAACTTTAAAGTACGAGAAAATACAGTGTTGTTTTCTCGTACTTTTTAAAGTTGTCCTTCTTACAAGTATATTTCGGCAGCGGACCTACAGTGCTGGCAACTGAAATCCGACCCCCTCGCCGCCGGCGCGGGGCGCGGGCGGCGAGGGGGTCAGATTTCAGTTGCCAGCACTGTAGCTTCACATTCATTATACTCCCTGATGAAGACTCAAGGGTGAAAACTTGGAGATATTATTATATTTACCTTTGCAGTGTAAGACCGTGGTAGTGAAGGAGATTGAGACATGATTATAGAATCACTTCAGGTTTCGGAGTCCCGACATCTGGTGTTGAAGATCCGAAACGTTAGCTGTAGGTTTCACGTTGTTTTCGGTCTATAGTTTATTTTTGAAGGATGGAGCCCCTCTTTTCCTGAATGAATTGTGATATCAAACTGCTGGGGTGCTCTTGTGCGTCTGTCTGCAGAGTGCACGATATGGATAGTTTGAACCAAAGTGTGTTTACAGTGGACCCATCCGCATCGACTGACTTTCTGCAGTGTGGTGACGATTATCTGGGGTAGGAGTTTGTACTTACTTGTGAACTTCTGTAAATTTCCTCGTTCTAGTTGCACAGTGGATCATTCAGCATTTTCAGTTCCATCAGTTTCCCTAGTTTCATGTCTTTAAAGTAGATGTTATAATTATGATTAGTACCGGTGATTGCATCATCAGTTGAGATGCATTGACAAAGTCGTGGCACAGCGCAATGCACTGGCTCAAGTGCAGCCATGGAAACCACCAAATCATACTGTCTACTTAGTTCCTGTTTGGTGTTCCGCTGGCTCGCGCTGTACACATGCTAGCTGGTCTGGCTAAATAGTCCTTTCCTTTTGAAGTGAGACTGTGATCACAACAGGCGATATATTGCTATAACCGATTACTCTTATGACCGGTTTAGTTTGAGTGAAAAAGATCATTTTGCTATTTTGAAGCTGATAATACTATAACCGGTATGTTGTTATGACCGCCAACCCTATAGCCGATCTCCACCTGTACAGTACTGTGTGAATGTCTTAGCATAAGTATTCTTCTCACAACTCACATCGGCCATAACTAGTGCAGGGTTGGCTGCGGACAGCCATATTGCAAGAATGACGAACATCTGCGATGTGTGTTTTTTTGTGTTTTTCTAATTATTTATTTTTGAATGTTATGCTGGTGTCATGGTAATGACATGGAAGGTCGCGCAAGCGCTGAAAAGCGCTTGCGCAGTTTGAATCAGGGAGTAGTAAAATACAGGGAGGTGACACGAGCATGTACGGCCAGTTTGACGATTGCCTCAGCACCGTTTTCACCCGGCGGGTGAGATTGGGGTACTATGGGTACTGAAGTGTGTAGACACGCGCGCGGATCAGGATTCTCTCGATCAGCGAGTAGTAAAATACCTACCGCCAAAGAGACTCCAACTGCAGCCCGTAGAAACTCAGCGCTGAGAATTTCCAACAATTGTCTGCCTTCACAAAGTTTGGTAGTCGACCAAACTACCACTATGTCAGGATAGAAGTCCAGCAAGAGTGGTATCACTTTGGGAGATATCCCTGCGTGCCGTTGATTTTTCCTGTGTCGATACAAGCTGTTTACGACGACGTAGCCCGCATTTCAATCCTTGACAAACTTAGGAACATTTCATTCCGAAAAGTGAACTCCCGAATCTCTAGCATACCATAATATGAAATGCTCATCATCACAAAGAAGGTAGAGAAGTACTGGTTGGTCACAACTGAGGAGAAATTAGTGCCGATCGTGTTGTTCTCAAGGAAATCACCTTCGTTCTATTGCTCCATACCGTCGATCGGGACGAATTTCGGAAGGGTGGTACCTTTCCATATGACGATGACACAGATGTATCACAAGAGCAAAACAAATGCTGTTCCATGAGATGGATAGACCTTTTCACGGAATTAGTTCTTCGACAAATACTCAAGATTGATTCAGCAGATCATCTTTTTTTGCGAAAGAAAAAAAACAAGCGCGAGGCACCCATCAAAAATCACGATTAGTGGCGTGTCACCTCCCTGTATTTTACTACTCCCTGGTTTGAATCGGTCTCTTTTTTGTCTTGCATTGCAAGGGCCCACCCACCCACCCACCCTTGTGTTTGCCTTACTAATAGAATTACACGTATGGTATCTTATCACTTTCAGTTTAGTATTAATTTCTGTAGCTGCTGTTGGCAGTCTTGTTTTTTGTTGTTGTGGATCAGTACCTTCCTATTCCTATTCCATTGAAATGTATTGATATTACCCGTTTAAAGAATAATGCAATGCAATATGGCTGTCCGCAGCCAACCCTGATAGGCGATTCTGAATAATCACCGTGGCAAAGAAGCGGGAAATACGGAATCTAGTGAGTACACTACTGTATGCATGTCTTAGCATAAGTACACCTGTTACACACACACACACACGCACGCACGCACGTACGCACACACACACAAGCATGCTCGCATGCAAGTACGCGTACACACATGCTCGTGGATGTCGCCTTTTCTAAGATTCCCGACCCAGGTTTTACATGTTGAACGTGACTGGGACCTTATTTCTATCTGTTTGTTGGTTTTCTGCTTTCTACTTTAGATGGAATATATATTTCGTGACTGTTGGCCGCGGATCGCAGGTTGGGACTATCCAAGTTCAGCAAGTTGACGTTCGGCTTGTGTTGGGTTCCTGTGCCTGTGTGGGCTTCTGGTTATCAAGTTTATTTTACGATGAGACGTCGGGACAAATATATGACCTGTACCGCTCAAACGTCGGATTCAACCAGCTTGATGTTCAGAATGGTATGCTGTTTCCTAAGTTCTACTTCGAAGTACTGTTAAACTGGGAATTTTCGGTGGTGTAATACTTTTGATGTTTCCGAAAATCAGTGGTTCGGTAATGCAAACATTTCGGTAAACCAGATTTCCGTACTGCAATCGGCATGCATGTACGTATGTTTTCGGTGCGTTTTATTTTAGGTAAAAATTACCTGTACCGAAGTTACCGAAAATCTCCACCGAAAGTTTCCGTATGCACTTCCGTTCTCGACAATCTTACTCGTAATTCGGTGATCTCCAGACCACAACTTGTTAAAGCTCTACACTTTGTATAGCAAAGGTGTGGTCCTCATTCCGAACTAAAGCAATCACAAAATGTCACAGCTTGTATGAATTTGCTTGTTTGTTTTGAGCAAAAGCGAAAAAACAGTAATTCTTTCCACCTCAAAAAAGTGAAAAATCATGAAAACTTCGAGTCAATGGTATTGAAATTCACTAGAATCTTGAACTTACCTGGAAAGGGGGAAACCCCAAAGATGGCCTGCAAAAGGCTGCAATAGTAGAGAAGCATGTGTAACTGTTAATTTTAAGTAAATCACTTTGGCTTCTTTTCCCTGTACGACACTGTTTACAAATTCATTGTTTGTGACCTGGCAACATGGGATCATATTGCTATTCTTCAAGGCTTGTCTGTTTTGTCGAAACTAACGGTGCTGCAGTTAAGAATTATAATCATTTCTCCCTGCTGTACATTTATCTTCGGTCACGGTTCCACTTGAAACTGTAAGTGCAACTGTAACTGCAACTGTTCTGGGTGTCGTTGTTGCTCAGTCGTTCCTATCCTATCGCATGTGAGAGCCAGCAGCACTTACCTGCCGGCAACACCCAGTAGGTCGAGTGAGTCCACCTTGAACATAACCTGGGAGCTTGGTTTAGTTGGCTGCAACGTGGACGAAACATTCTATGGACTCGAGTTCCGGCTAGTCAAAGCGCCTGCCTCATTCAACGACTTCCAGCGCTCGGCTGCCGCAGCTGACCAATGTATGGAGAATCAGCCGAACGGTAGCTTTGGACTAGTGCTGTGTAATGCTTCCCTGAGTACGCCTACGAGTGGGCAAGCGATATATACGGCAGACAGTTACGAGAAGTCCTATTTCCTAAATCCTCAAATCCGACCGGTCGAGGCGTCCAGAGTGTTTCGAGGCCTTCAACCAGCGACTCTGTATTACGTACAGGTATGTGTTGCTCATCAACAAGCTTTTCTTCCTATGCTGGTCAAGTGTTGTTTTTTTGTACATATTGGCTCAGTGCCAATGTTACATCTACTATTAAAATATGGCAAATTGCAAATAGGTGCATTTAAATATGGTGTAATAGATGCTTCTTTGGATAATGTGTTGCCATTTCCGGTAGCACATGTCCTGTGCCATGCACAATTCGTCTTTGCAATGCGGCTGTTCGCAGCCGATCCGGCACTTGGGTTTGGGCAGTTGTGGGTGTGAGAGGTGTGGGAAAGAAGCATGATTAGGGGCCATCCGTAAATTCGATATAATATTTAGAAACGGAAACTAGTCATTTCTCTTCAACCCCCTCGCCCCCTTCCTGAGAAACGAACATATACAAACGGTACATGGTATCGATGTTTTTTTCTCTTTTCTTTCTGGACGTGCCCACACATACAAAAAAAACTGTACATCGATTTTTTTAACAGGCCCTCAACCCCCTCCCCTATCTATGGCCCCTTATGGACATTAGGCCACCCAGAATTAATTTGTTGTTTCGGGTCACTTCACTCATCCGTACCAGGGCCGGTCGGTCAGGTTTAATTTTAATTTTCACTTATTTTTGTTTTGGTTTCTGCCATTTGCATACAATCATGTAGAATAGATTGTGTATATCGAATATCCAAGTACATATCAACTAGTTTTTGTTTCTAAATAAATACCTATATTTACGGATGGCCCGTTATTGACATTAGGCCACCCAGAACTAAGTCGTTGTTTCGGGTCACTTCACTCATCCGTACCAGGGTCGGTCGGTCAGGTTTTATTTTAATTTTCACATATTAAAATCACATATTATGATCTGGGAGTTTTGGACGCGAAAGGCCCTACCGTCGGCCGAAACTGGTTGTGTCCCGTCCAACACGGATGCGCACATCTCTGGCATTGTTAGAGCATCTTCTATTTCGTCCGTGGTTGCTCTGAACAATGCTCTGTGGAAGCGAAATTGAGATGGGAAGAATGTTTTAAGCCTGTGCCGGCATGCCCGAGATCTTTCCTAAGCACTTCTTGGTCCTTGCTGTTTTCGTGCGTGGGGTTGGGATCATTAGGATCGCGTGTGTACACAGTCATGTACACGGCATACAATAGTACATGCACACTAAAAACAAAAACATTTTGCGGTCGGGTGAAAAATTGCGGTCGGTCGGGTGACCCGAAACAACGAATTTATTCTGGGTGGCCGTGTATCTTTCCTGCTACTACTTCCTCCGGAAACAAAAACTTCGTGACTTTTTGACATGAATTTTCAAGGAGTTACTGTGCTCAACAAAAGTGTTCTTTTGGAAGAGAAACACTTCAACACATTCAATCGACATATCTACAATATCTACAGGATCGATTAGTGGGAGTAGAGTCTCAGTCTGGGTCGCCATTGCTCGACTTCTCACCGCTGACACTGTTCCAAGTGGCAGGTCGATCGACGCGACGTCGTATGTCATGGAGAAGCTTCTCTGCGTCTCTGATCGTCTTCGCTGTTACCTGAATGCCTTCTCCAACATCTCGGCGGAGACCACGGTAGCGCTGCAACGCTGGTACTCATTACCGCCTCCGCTCTCTGTTGCCACGGAACAGCAAACACAGGCAACGCCAAACATTTCAAATTTCCTCTGAGGGATATCAAAGGCGTACCAGCACTTCTGGACTGCCGCGATCAGATCTCGCCTTCTCCTTTGCGACCAAGGACACATCGTCGAGGCTGCTGGAAAAGGCAAGGTCATTCACGTTGAGGTCTGGGCTCTGCAGTGGCTGAACGACTTTTATTTTGAACTTGTTCATCTTGCTCTGCTGCGCGAAGTGACGATTGTCACATCTCTGCGTTTTGAGTTTTGACATCTTGACGACCTGTTCGCATGCAGACAGGCGTTTCGAGGATGGCGAAGACTTCGAAATGCTAGCTGCTGTTGCTATTCATTTTCCACTCTTCTTGCTCCTCGGCGCCATTGTCCTGCTCTGTCGAGCTCTGAACTAAAAATAGCCACGACGAGAGGTGAGCGCAGTGCTTTTCTTCCCATTGGGCCTGGTGGACGAAAAATGAAAAACATGTTCGCTTTGCTTTGTTTGCAGCGTGAAAACCCTTGCTCTGCGACGACTGTCGGCTCTCCAAAATATGAATCGTGCTTTCCTACGATTCCAAAATGTCATGTCAGTGTTTCAGGCTGATAGAAGCAGAGAGAGAGCGAAATAACAGCAGCGAAAAGTAGTGAAAAAAGTCACAAAGTTTTGGTTTCCGGAGGAAGTATTATCAGTCATCACATCAGTGTCGTGGGACATGAACAAGATGAAGAGACAAATTCGGTGGCGCGTATGAAGTAGAGAATATACGTTTTAAAAGCAGTTGTGCGCCACAAAATAAGCCATACCAATACTCAGAATTGCACACCGTGCTAACATGCTATCATGTATTTAGATGATACGGCCTTTACTTCCTCTTTTTTTCTTTTTCTTTTTTTTGTTAGCCGAAAGCTGTTGATGGAAAGCTGTTGACGGAAAGCTGTTGACAGAAAGCTGTTGACGGAAAGCTGTTGACGGAAAGCTGTTAGTGGAAAGCTGTTAGTGGAAAGCTGTTAGTGGAAAGCTGTTAGTGGAAAGCTGTTGACGGAAAGCTGTTAGTGGAAAGCTGTTAGTGAAAAGTTCTTCGTGGAAAGTTCTTAGTGGAAAGTTCTTAGTGGAAAGTTCTTAGTGGAAAGTTCTTAGTGGAAAGTTCGTAGTGGAAAGTTTGTAGTGGAAAGTTCTTAGTGGAAAGTTCTTAGTGGAAAGTTCTTAGTGGGAAGCTGTTACTGGAAAGCTGTGTGTTGGTGATACCAGCAAGTAAAGAACACCGTTGCTGGAATCTCCTATGTCGTGTCTATATCAAACTGTTGCTTGTCTGCTTCAGGTGGTGGTGACAATAGGAGGTGGTGAATACGGTGATTGGTACTTGGTACCCCCGCGTCTCACCTGGACCCAACCAGCAACGGGTGAGTTGTTTGCTGATTAGAGAGGTTAAGCTGCTCGTTATTTTTGACGTGACGCAAACGTTTCGCTCGGTTTGTTGTTTTGCATGTAGCCTTCACACAAGCATAAGAGCATATTATATGTGACACACTTTTCCGTGGTGCTCAAATAGCACTATCCTATCTGCAGTAGCCCCCACCACCACCCACCACCTTGTAAAACAGAGCGGGTTATGGAGGGTTTGCGCATGTTCGGAAACCGTACCCATGTACTCGCTGGCGATGGCTTGGTAGTGAATGTGAATGTGGTGGCGGTGGTGGTAGTGTGGACAGCGGCGGTGGTGGTAGTGTGGACGGCCGCAGTGGTGACGGTGGCGGCGGCAGTGGCGGTGGCAGTGGTAGGGATAGAGGCTTGATCGGCAATGCTGGACACTGCTGTCGCTGATCTGCAATTCTGGGCTAGAGGTTGGCAGGCTCCTGTGGCATAGAGCTGCTGCTGCGTGTAACCGGGACTACGGATGTCATACTCTAGTATTTACCGATTTGTCGGATATCAGGCGTGTTAAACCGCCGACGACGTGTTACTAATATCATGTGACTGATTTAAAAACTGTGCTACAAGCTAATATGCACTCACACTCACACACTCACACACTCACACACTCACACACTCACACACTCACATTGCAGTGTTGGAATGTTTCTGTGTGCACGTTTGTTGCAGTACCAGCCGCTGCCCGCTACCACCAGCCACTAATCCTCAATGCACCTGATACTCGTTCTGGTATCGGTCTAGCATCTCAACTGGCTTGGAATCAGAACTTGAGTCTCCTTGGCCAGGAGCCATCAGCTGTTGACCGCTACCAATTGATTTTTTCTGCGGTATGTACATCAGGGTTTTAGCTACTGTCGTGGGCATGGAAATCCGGTTGAATGACCCGGGCCGGCGTACAGAACTCGCTGCAGACGATGAAGCGTCGAGCTGAACGACTGCTGACAGTGCTGTGATACTCACGGCTGCATGGCCAGCGCTCTGGGGCCGCTTGACCTCCGACTGGATTTCCAAGTCCACGACAGTTGGAAACAACTTGTGTGTGTGTGGGGGGGGGGGGGGGGGGAGGCAAACAGTTGACCCATGTTTCCCAAGTTCCACTGCCTTGTCACATAAAATGCAACATACGGGTGCACAGAGCACCCGGAGCGATCGATTTGTGGCCGCATTTTCACTGTGTGAACTGAAAAACATGAAAATCCCTAAATGAGAAGGGTGGTACTAGTACGCTATCAAAGTAAGGCGTGCGACATCAGAGTAGGAGGGGGGAGGGGCTGCCCCCGGCTATAACCCTGTGCACATTGCCACTGTTTGGTGTGGTCACCGTTATGCATGATTGGGCATGACGTGTGAACAACATGTACATAACTTAGTCGATTGCTTTGCCGGCATGGTGCAACCATGGGATCTGCTGGGCAAGACATGCTCACTTGATGGGAACTCATTAATGCGTCAAAAATCAACCTATGCAGTCAGTTTAATGATTACCTTTTCTAACTCCTGTACTTCAACCAGTATCATTGAAGATGCTGTGCTTTTCCAGCAATTGCAGCAGACAGAGAACAAGAGACCTTTGGCCCGGGGACCCTCATTATACTGGCTCTGTAATTTTCTGTACACACATACACCCACACACACACACACAGAGGCTACCAGTGTGTGTGTGTGTGTGTGTGTGTGTGTGTGTGTGTGTGTGTGTGTGTGCGTGTGCGTGTGTGTGTGTGGGGGTGTATGCATGTGTGCGTGTGTATATGTGTGCATGCGTGTTACTGTGTTATGAGCATGGACATTACAGTAGAGACCCTTGGTTAGCTACGGATGTGATTTTTCACTTTGATCTCTTTGGCAGGCACCTGGATTGCCGATTTTCCTGAGAAACTTACTGTGCGCGCGAGAATTTGAGGCACGCATGGCAGCACTGGGATGCGGTTGTGGTCAACGGACCTGCAACCCAAGACGGCGAGAATTTCTCTGCAGTGTACGCTGCCCTGTGGACATAGCACAGTGTGTACTGCCAGCCCTGGAAGAGGAATGGTGCTTTGTACTTGCAAGCGGCAGTACGCTCACCATTGAGGCGTGCAATTCCCTGGAGTGTGAAGGAAACAGTAACAATGCTGCAGCACGCCGTGCATTGGCATGGACTGCACCCGAGCCCGAAATACTATGTGCTGACCCTGAGATTCGGACCATGTGTGAACCTCTGCTACCACCGGGGACCGTACTTAGTTTGTGCGCCGCCAATGCCAGCAATAGCAACAATCGGAAAGCCGGTGATAACAGCACAACGATTATCCTGTCGGCGGTGTTAATTCCAGTGTCAGTTATATTTGTGTTACTGGTCACAATTGGATTATGGCTTCGGCAACGGAAGAAGACGTAAGTGCTTGGAATACTGATCTAGTGCTTGAAAATGAGCAATGCATCCCCTTCCAGTCCATGTATTACTGTGTCTGCTATGCTGCTCATGCTATGGAGACTTAAAAGGATTCTCTGCCTGTGATGAGCTCATTGCAGCAAAGCAGACCTAGTTATTCCGTATTCAGTGAGAGAAGGACCTGTTTTATTGCGGCCATGTGCATGAAAACTCAGTTTGGACTCCAGAACCACATGTTGTTGCACTGCTTTGTGAAAAGTGTGGTGGATTTGCTCGAATGTACACATTTGCTTGGCGTATTGTATGTGTGGAATGGAGACAGTTGCCAGGACTGAACAAATCTTGTTGTATGTGTGGAATGGAGACAGTTGCCAGGACTGAACAAATCTTGTTGTATGTGTGGAATGGAGACAGTTGCCAGGACTGAACAAATCTTGTTGTATGTGTGGAATGGAGACAGTTGCCAGGACTGAACAAATCTTGTTGTATGTGTGGAATGGAGACAGTTGCCAGGACTGAACAAATCTTGTTGTATGTGTGGAATGGAGACAGTTGCCAGGACTGAACAAATCTTGTTGTATGTGTGGAATGGAGACAGTTGCCAGGACTGAACAAATCTTGTTGTATGTGTGGAATGGAGACAGTTGCCCGGACTGAACAAATCTTGTTGTATGTGTGGAATGGAGACAGTTGCCAGGACTGAACAAATCTTGTTGTATGTGTGGAATGGAGACAGTTGCCAGGACTGAACAAATCTTGTTGTATGTGTGGAATGGAGACAGTTGCCAGGACTGAACAAATCTTGTTGTATGTGTGGAATGGAGACAGTTGCCAGGACTGAACAAATCTTGTTGTATGTGTGGAATGGAGACAGTTGCCCGGACTGAACAAATCTTGTTGTATGTGTGGAATGGAGACAGTTGCCAGGACTGAACAAATCTTGTTGTATGTGTGGAATGGAGACAGTTGCCAGGACTGAACAAATCTTGTTGTATGTGTGGAATGGAGACAGTTGCCCGGACTGAACAAATCTTGTTGTATGTGTGGAATGGAGACAGTTGCCAGGACTGAACAAATCTTGTTGTATGTGTGGAATGGAGACAGTTGCCAGGACTGAACAAATCTTGTTGTATGTGTGGAATGGAGACAGTTGCCAGGACTGAACAACATCAGTATAATATAAGATACCAATTTTTTTTCCTTTATTTGAATCAACGCTATCGCGAACCCGGTTTTAGATGTCTGGTAAAGTTGCGCACACAGATGGGTGGCCAGGTAGCCATCGTTAAACTTTCTGCACGTTATCATGCCAAAATTACAAAACGTTATACTTTTTGGTCGTTGAACTTTCCGGTTTTCCAGTAACCACTACACTAGTCATATGCTGCATGCTTAGAACAAACCTCTTTAATTAAGCTGCATGTGTCACTATTCATGGCTTCATACAGGACGCTCTTGAAAGAAGAGATGAACCGTCTTGAAATCATTGCTGGTACTGACTACACATTGGTTGGTAAGGATGTTGTAGTGCGTTATGTTGTGTAGTCATGTGTACGTCATGTGTACGTCATGTGTACGTCATGTGTACGTCATGTGTACGTGGTCTTGGTGTATGCGCGTTTTGCTGTTTTGGCCGGGCCACAGTACTGTAACTAGCATGATAAGTGCAGCGTAGGGCTGAGGACTTACCGTCACAATTAGTGCAGCGTAGAGCTGAGACCTGATCGTCCCCACACAGCATCACGGTATCAGGCTGTACTGTAGGCTAGTTCTGTTGTTAGCATCATGCAGCTTCACAGTAGTAATGATGGCATGCTTTTGGGTAGTGTACCTTATGCGGCGCCTGGACTTGGCCTCACGGTCTGTCAAGTTACCACCTTCATTCAGCCTGGATGGCTGTTGCTTCCCCTGTGGTTGAAGTAGTTGAGATAGGACTATTGTCTAGAAGTAGGATTGCAGCCTCCCCCCCCCCCCCCCCCAAGCTCAGGTGATTGACTGTGTCTCTACTAAAAGGACTGTACAGTTGTGCGTTCATGTATCTGGCACTGAAAAGGATTTGAATGAAGGTGATATGTGTTGTGTTGGCCCATGTCCAGAGTATGTTCCCGATGACTGGGAGCTGGATGAAGATCAGCTAGAGCTGCACGACATGCTTGGTGAAGGAGCTTTTGGCATTGTCTACAAGGGAATTATGTACCAGAAAGGTTCAGCTGGACCTGTTTCTAGTCAAATAGTGGCAGTCAAGGTAATATCCGTCTTGACGAACCTAGAATTGCAATAGCATTTTACAGTTCTAGCAATATTATACTGTTACGAGTGCTCGCATATGTTTCTGAAAGGTGTCCTTGTGCCTTTTTGTGGGGAATAACCTAATGTGTATGTACTGGTCTTTGTCACTGTCACAGACACTGAAGGCTGAGGGAGCCTACGAGAAGAACCTCTTTCTGCAGGAGGCCTCAGTAATGAAGTAAGTCAAAAAATCACGGTTCGTTTGAGACTCAGTTGGACTGAGTTCTCAGCATCCGTAGGAACGCCACCACCCTGCAAAGATCTACGGTGCATCCTTAGGAACGCCACCACCCTGCAAAGATCTAAGGTGCATCCTTAGGAACGCCACCACCCTGCAAAGATCTAAGGTGTATCCTTAGGAACGCCACCACCCTGCAAAGATCTAAGGTGCATCCTTAGGAACGCCATCACCCTGCAAAGATCTAAGGTGCATCCTTAGGAACGCCATCACCCTGCAAAGATCAAAGGCGCAGATGCAGGTCCTAAAACGGTGGGAGATGAGTAGATCAGCCCACCAGGAAAGTGGTCAAAGACCGAAAATCCCATTCACTGCATCCATGTTTCCTAATTACCCTGTCAAGTAGAGATTTATGTTGGTGGTTGGTCTGAGTGCCTTCACGTGCACACGCGTCAGGCGAAATTACTGGTCAGTCGGCGACGCGCATTTTTCACAAAAAATTGCGTTTCACCTGCTGGGAGAGTATGCGTGTACTCGAGTCTCATCCTGAGCACGTTTTTTCTTCTTTTTTTCAGCTCCAGTATAGCTGTATTTTTCATTGCAAAGCCGTCCTCGATTGTTGTGTTCGTTGTTCAAACGAAGTGGACATTCAATCATGAAGGCAGAGGACATAGGAGCCTGATTTGAGTTTCTCGTGGCATAGGACGGTCACACAGAGACACTTTGGGATTTTCTGAATATATAATACCCGGCGTCGCACGATTTGTGCGATATCAAATTGTTTGTGATCTACCACATCGAGCAGAACGGGATCCAAACACAAGCTTACCGACGGTTAGGCTGCCGACCTGACCGGACAAATGATCCCTGGCTTCACCAGACGCCAGAAGTCGGACACCATGTCCTTTGCCGCGATGTCCATCTCCAAAAAGAACTCCATCTTCGTCGTGAAAAGGCTTGAAATACTCAATATTCAACCGAGATTCGCGGTCTCACCCTTTCTCAGATCGAATCATTTTTTGTTGTAGCAGTTGCAGGGCAGATCCCCGCCACTACTTCAACAGGCGATGGCTCCAAAGCATGCCTGGAACAAGCCATATCGAGGTTGCAAGCCACCCCTCTCAGCAAAAAATTCGAAGAAATTCGAAATTTCAATGGTGGAAGATATACTATGAAGAGAATTTCAAAAAGTATGTTTCGTGGAGCGATCGCTCAACCTACGTCATTCAAACTTTGCAGGATGGTTCAGACGTACATGCTAGGCATGGCACCACAGGCGATGATGTCATAGCTGACACACAGAGTAACACACACAGCAGATTCGTGTGCACAGATCCTAAATTAGTGGACGTCGTCATCTTCTTCCCGCTGATCTCGAATTTACTATGACGTGCTATTTCGCCTGACGTTCATCTGTACCTAGTTCCACCCGATGTTCTTGGCAGTCTGTGCAGTTTTCAACATCAGGTTTCCAGCAACCCAACCTCCCAATCCCTCTAACTTCATTGGACCGTTTGCCATCTTGTGCTTGTTCTGAGGCCAATGCTGCAAGGGTGGTGGTACGTGCATGCTGCATGTTCATGTGTCAGTTGTGCTGAAACGATGACAGTTGTGTGCGGTGGCTTAGCTGATGCCATAAAAATCGGCTATCGGCGGCTTAGCAATCATTGCTTGCAGAAACTCTGATCTTCCACTCTGCTGTGAGTATTCCTTCTAGTGAAGTTTGTCAGGCCACTCTTGCCTATGCTCACAATATGCCTAGACACAACACCTAAGAATTTCGGAGATTGTTTTTACTTGGTTTTAGAGATTAGAGAATGCTTTCATAGTTGGCAGCATGGAAAACATGTGCAACAAAAGACACTACTCGCCGCTTGGCAAGTGTTCACACACATGGAAGGTCTTCGGAGACCTGCTTCATATTGGAAGATCGCATAGCGTAGCGGGCCGTGTTCCTGCGTTGGAACACCTCCAGCACAGCTGCAAGAGTCCAAAGGTGGGGAATTCCCTAAGTCGACATGCATTGTAGATACTGCTGCAAGCAACAGGATGAAAATGCCGTTTCATAATCGTATCCAGTAACTAGTGAGTGTTTTAAATCTACAGCATCGTTTCTGTGCAAGTAACTGTAGTCACTGGAGTTTGCTTTATCTGTACATTGTCTCTGGCCCAGGAAATTTGACTGTCCCTACATCGTCCAGCTGCGGGGCATTGTGTCGGAGAACGCACCGAAAGTTGCTATGGAGTACATGGAGTGTGGTGATCTGAAGAACTACTTGCGCTCCGTTCGAAAGAAGGTGTGTCTCGATGCCCAGATTGATCCTTGTGTTGCAGAGCTGTCTTATACCCATGTATTTTCTGGCCTTAAAAAAAGATCAGTCTGTCTGCTATGTTCGTGCACCATAGTTACTCGGCCATACTCTGCAACCCGGCCATACGCACTCCACCTGGATGAGTTCCTACTGAATGGCAAGAGTTCATAACTCACAAGACCGTGGAACTGCTGATACTAGTGATAGGTTATTGTCCTGACTCTCTGTATGCATACGAGATATGAGGTGGACTGTGCCCGATGCAATTTTGGGTGCAGTCAAGTGAAAAATGACGGAATGCTGAAAACGGCTCACGACGGAGTTTTATGTGGAGATGCAAACGCAAACGCGTGGGAGTTATGTACTCTTCCTACTATGCAAGCACTTGGAACGGGGGTATCACTTGGAAATGTTCTTGTTGTGTTTGCTAAGCTGTGTGTATGAGTTTAGAAATGGTGAGGCAGAAAGAATGTACCACGACAACACCGCGTAATTGAGTGTACCGTTTGTGTGCCCATGTGTATGTGTGTGTGCATGCATCTGTTTGCTGCACATGTCACGGAGTTGTTGTGCCGTGTGTGTGCCGTGTGTGTGTGTGTGTGTGTATGTATGTGTGTGTGTACGTGTCTGTGTGCACACATACATGTATCTATGTGTTCCATTATCTGCTGGCTGAGCAGGCAAAGTCGAGTGGCTTCATGAACGCAGGACCAGTGGTGCATGGTCTGTCCTCTGATGGTATAGACAGTGATAGCGGTGTTCCAACTACAGTCGGCACTATAAAGAGTGGAGCGGACACTCCTAACGCTGGACTCCCCAATGCTCTGCCCTCAGAGGAGCAGTTTATGACCTGGGCTGAGCAGCTAGCACAAGCTATCCAGCATCTCGTTGAGAAACGTTTCGTACACAGGTATATGCTGTTGCCATTTTCGTTTGCTGTTGTTAATTCCTGCATTGATAGATCAGTGTTAGCGTATGACATGCTTGGGGAGCCCTGTAGCGCATGAACTGGTCCAGAATACATGTCCTAGACATTGATGATGTATTGTGTGGAGGATAATGCCCGAATGTGTGTGTCGATGTTATAGATACTGAGCCAGCATGCACAATTCCAACACTTCACTATCCGAGCCAAAGAAACCTGGAATTGTGGATAGACTGTGTTTTATTCTGTTGTGTTTGCTTGCCACGTGCAGGGACATTTCTGCTAGGAACTGCATGCTTTCTGCTGATTTGACGTTGAAGCTGTCTGGTGAGTTCACGCATGTATTGCTCTGGCCGCTTTGGGAGAGCACATGGAAATGTGTAGAACACGCAGTGCATAGAATACTGAGGGGGGGGGGGGGGGGGGGGAGATCGTGTAAGTCATTGAACATATCTGTTTGTTAGACTCGGATGGAGAGCCACGGATTAATTTATAGGAAAAAAAGGACCAAGGAACTACAAGTTACGCTGTAACGTTATCGCATGCGCTGATTGTCAAGTATCTGGCGGTGTTAGTGGACGTTACAACTTAGCGGAACTTGTAGTTCCTTGGTCCTTTTTGTTAGTGGTCCTATCGTCACACCAAGACGTCACTCTGCCCAACTGCATGATTGACATGGTTAAAGGGGTGTACACCAGTCACCTGGTCACTGTTCCTACAGGGTACAACTTACAGCCTGTTTCGGCGCGTTCCTGTCACACGAGTTGAACCTTTGATTTGAACCTTGGTGTGAAAGTTGTAGCCTGCATTGCAGGCACGGTGACCACTGACCAGGTGGCCGGGATACGCACGAGCACGTGGCTGCTTATTCAACCATGTTTGATTGGGAATAAGGTCCGAACGCTGCATCGCAGCCTTCTCGGACCAAAAACAGTCGCCCCAGTGTCCAAAAGACTACAACATAATTATAGGCCAATCGCGTTTATCCGTGCTTTAAAAAAACGAAATGGCGCTTTTAGTGACATTTTGCATACAAATCCCCATCTTGTAGGGTACAGTCACCCAGTTTCAGTGGAAGTGGCGAGTTCGATTGGGAATAAAGGAGGAAGGGAGCGCCTCAGCTTCCTCGGACCAAGACCATTCGACTCAGCACCCCGAAGGCTACAATTTGTGAAAAATTGATTTTAGGCTTAACTTCCCCTTTAGGATAAAGATTGCAGTCTTTATCGACTGACAAGCCCTCAGTTCCAACTGAAGGTTACTTCGGGAAAGTGGCTTGTAATCTGTAGAACATTCATGCACAGAAAGGCATGCTAATATGGATGCTTCTATCTGTTTTAAACTGGCTTATCTTGGCTGTTGCTCATAGGAAATGCATTGCATTTGTTTTTGCTGCTGGCGATATTCACCTGTTTGTCATTGGCTCCTTTGTCTGGATTTCACTCCCTTCTAGTGGTTTTTCAGCCTGGACCGTTCGTTGGCGATGTGTGAAGCCCATGCATCCATGCATCCATGCATCCGGCATTCAGGAGTGGCGGCATGTGACTAGTGTATTATAGTGTTCACTAATGTATGTGTGTATGTGTGTGTATGTGTGTGTATGTGTGTGTATGTGTGTATGTGTGTGTGTATGTGTGTGTCAAGGACTCAATATCAGCCTGCGTTGTCTACTGGTTTTGTGTCCTTTCCTACATCAGACTTCGGTTTGTCCCGTGACATCTACTCCAACGACTATTATCGCAAGGTTGGTCGAGGTAAGCAATATGCATGCATGCGGAATTATGTGTGCTTGTGCGCATGCGTAATATGGATGCTTGTGTGCATGCGTAATTATGTGTGCATGTGTGCATGCGTAATTATGTGTGC